TGGGGTAGTGCCTGTGTGCTTGTTGAAACACCGGTTCCTGGTATAGGCTGCTTCCTGGATGGCATAGTGCCAAAGGCTCTTAGGTAAGCCACTGTCAATGAGCTTACATCTGGCCATCTCGAAAAGAGTTCGCCCTTCCCTTTCAGCTGTCCCGTTCTGGTGCGGAGAGTAAGGACAGGAAGTCTCGTGCCTGATTTTGTTCTTTCTCAGTAGTGTCTGAAACTCTCGGTTAGTAAATTCAGTCCCGTTATCTGATCTGATGCACTTCACAGTGCCGTAAGGCGCCACATCTGCCAGGTACTTCTCTGTAGCCTGAACTGCATCGCTTTTTGCTTTCAGAAAATAGACCAGCACTGCCCCCGTACACACGTCTGTGAAAGACTGCATGTATTTAAAACCATCTATGGACTCATTGTTAATTGGGCCGGTTAGGTCTGTGTTCACCAGCTCAAGCGGCGTCTTTGCTCTGTTAGTCGGGTCTCTGTTTCTCGTCTGCGTGAACTTCCCCTCTATGCATACTGCACATTCTTTATCAGGCCTGCGCTTTGGACCTTTAATGTGCATGCCCTCTGTCACGTCCTGCAATTTCAAGATATCGTCGTAATTACAGTGACCCATTACCTCATGCCATGTCTGAATATCATAGCTGACGTGACACACATCATCTAGATCACACTCGGTTTGCAGGTAGTACATTCTCTTGCATACATAGATTTCAAACCTTGTGCCATCCGTTGACTCTAGAACGTCTTTTCCTTCGTCGAAAAACACTTTGGCGCCGTGGGCGGTAGCTGACTTCACTGAGAAGAGTTCTTGAGGGTACGAGGGAATGTAGAGAGCGTTCTTTAATGTCACTGTACACCGGTGCCCCCCACTGCTTATGAGACATACCTGTGCGTCTCCCCTGCCTTTCACCACACCGACAGTACGCTTCCCATCTGCGAGCTCCATACTGTGTCTCTCCGGCCTGAAGGTGCTGTCAAAGCTTTTGAACTTGCTTCTATCGTTGATGATGTGGGACGACGCGCCCGTGTCCACGATCATTCCCCTTCTCTGGGTCTGCAGCATTTTCCTTGAGAGACTGGCATCTTCTGTTTGTGCCCTGAAGGTGCGGTCTTCTCCTCCCGTGGCTCCCCGGTCGCCGTCTGGTTCACACCCGGGCCTACGGCCACCGCCGCCATCTTGTACACATGCGCACCGGGCGCCCCGCTCACGCTCCTTCTTTGTGCACGCTTTATCGGTGTGCCCCCTGCTTCTGCAAAAACTGCACCAAACTTTCTCTGTGCAGTCATCCCTTCTGTGGCCCTTTTCTCCGCACCGCCAACACACCATCTCCACTGGTCCAGTCTTTTTCCTTGGCGCCGCTTGCGCCCTCAGCACCCTTTCTCCTGCCTCTTCTAGGACTGGGTCTGCGTCTTCTGAAGCCTCAAAATTTCTTAGCTTTGCCTTGAACTCTCCCAGTGTCATGTCAGCTGAACCATGCGTCACCATCAGTGTGAACGGCTTGTACTTCTCCGGTAATCCCCTCATGATCATCGCCATCATCAGTCCCTCGCTCGGTGCTTCGCCTGCACTCCTGAGTGCTGTAATGATCTGCTCAGCTCTGATGATGTACTTGGTTACGGTCTCGTTGTCAGCTTTCTTCAGCGCTGTCATTGTTATGTACAGGGAAACAATCCGGGGCCTACCTTTTCCTATGTAGTGTTCTTTTAACACTCTGAGACTCTCTCGGCCCTTGTCCTTTGTGTCTCTGAATATCAGCCCCAAGCTTGTGTTGTCAAGCAGCGGCGCCAATGCACAGTAGGCGTCCGCATTCAGCTTATCGTCCTTAGCCCTGTCTTCCTCCGACAGTGGTTCAGCGGGCTCCGTCAGGATCGTCTGCTTCAGCCCCACCCCGTGCATGCAGCACAGCATCCTCTCTTCCCAGAGCTCATACTCTTCTGCCCTCCCGTCAAAAGTGGGCCACTGGCTCTTGCTTCGGTTTGCCATGGCTGTTTGTAGTTCGGTTTAGCTCCCGTTTATTTAGCCTAGCTTTAGCTTCCCGGTTCTCCCGATGCTAAACTAGCTCTTTTGGATACTTCTGTATGCTAGCGCGGTCATGCTAGCCATCGACGCGCAAGTCCGTCAAACTTTGGAATCATTCCCGGTTCCTGGGCCCATAACCTGTTGACAGGTAGGCTTATTTATTCGGCCTACCTGCGCGGCGGAACAATGATTTTCGGAGAATGAACGGACGTCCAGGCGTTTATCTCTTTAGCCATCCGACTCGTGGCATTCTTTAATGTAAGCACACCATGCTCAACTGCCCGCTCACGGGAGAGACGGGGACACACAGAGAAAAGGGGAGGGAACACTGCCCTTATATGGGAATGGTGCTCTTGATATCACGACCCAGGAAACAGTTACAGGTACATGCATTCATACACTCTTAACAATCGCCGCGCACACACACACACACACATAAGCGGGCGGCTGTCTGCGCCCTGCGTGAGCCGTTTTTTCGCCCGAACGGATTCTTTGAATTCTGTAGTTGGGTGGTGCCTCGTTAAGTCGGGCAGAGCAGGACCGCTCTCCTGTAATCTGTTGTTCTTGTGTGAAATGTGTGCGTCGAGTTGTAAGTGTAAAAAAAAAAAAAAAAGGAACATCTCCGGTTTCTTGATTAGGCCTTTGTTTTAAATGTTGCGCGTAAAACACAAGACACAAACGTCAACCGCTTCCTTCTCTCTTGCGCACGAGCCGTCGGTGCGCCCTGCCTTCCCCCGGTGCCGCGCTGCCCGTTTTCCCTCTCCCAGAGGAGCACAGGGCTGCAATTGGACCAAATCTCCATCTCCAGATCATCTCTCCGCGTCCCCTTTGACTAAATAAATAACTCATTACAGTTCACAGTAAGGAGCTTCATTTACTCGAGGCGATGTGATCGCAGATGTCTCCGGGTTGCCCCACGTCGACTCATACACAAGTGTTTTTGGGTGGAATCCCGAGGGAAGGAGCGTTGAAACGAGACTGGCAGTGGAATGCAGGAGGAGAGCTGTCGATGGCAGATTGTTTGGCCTTGCTGCACAGTAGTATTGAGTTTGCTAAAAAAAAAAAAAGGGGGGGGGGGGGATTCTGTCAACAGCGTTAAGGCTTGAGGCCCGTGTGCTAATAAATCACGATGGACAATAGTGAACCCTCTGGCTCACACAAGAGGCGCAACCACCCCCCAAAAGCCGTATTCCACATGTAATGTCAGTGGCAAAAACACGAGGAGCCCTGGATGCCGCAAGAGTTGATGAGACAACCAGACGGAACTTGTGAGGCATTTGCAAATATATTATTCATAAAGGCGGCATTGGAGCGTAAGAACGAGCGTTTCCAGGATGTTCGGACAGTCGCAGAGGATGAATTCAACATCATTGGCAACCGGTAAACAGTTACTTGCAAATATGAACGCGGATGTCATTTTTGTCATTTTTGGTCTTTTCCATATCCTTTCATTCTGAATGTAGATTTACCTTATGAGCTATTGCCATTGTCTTTAATAATGTTTTAAAAGAATACCTCCCCACAATATCTATTTATTTTCCTTGTCTTTTTTTGTGTACTTTATATTTGCTGTTCAAATGTGTTAGAAAACTTCTACTGTATCCTGAGGAAGGCAACGCAGCAGGCGCATGAATGCCATTTCTTAAGCAAAACGGATGGTGGGATTTCCGTCCATTGTTTGGTGCTGGGAACATTGTTATCAATGTTGTTGTTTTTAATCATTGCATTAGGAAGCGCTGCCACAAACAGAAGGTCTAGCCGGAGATGAAAGACGACCTTTTTACCAGACCCCCTAGTAAAAAGAAATTAAAAAAACAACAACTCATATTTCGCTTTTTCATTAAGGTTTCTCCCAGACTTTTTCCGTCCGAGTATTTAGGGGAAAACATCACACGGTTCAAAATCATCATGCACCAAATTTGTATTTTTTCATTTTGTATTAATGAGACGCTCGTTGCGATGCGCAGGACTGCGGATTGTTACTGATCACCATGTGTGCTTTGCGTGTGGCTCTCCAATGCAAAGAAAGAAAGAAAGAAAGGAAACTTCCTCGGTTTCACCTCGGTTGCTCTTGGTGAAAAAGGCGACCTTGATGAGGCTATAAAATGCTACGGTCGAGCGACTTTCCTCACCGTGAATTGCACCACATCCTCTTTTTGACGGTGGTGGGGGAGGGAGGGGAGGGAGGGAGGGGGGGGGGTGTTCTTGGTCGAAGATGAGGGCAGCAGTGCGAAGGAAATGAAGTTAGTAAAGTGAGTGGGGTCAACTGAGCAGGAAAAGACCAAACCCGCTGCGGAGGAACTGCTGCTGGTTGTAATTCCTACGGGAGGTGTCACCATCCGGGCACCGTGGATGAACGTCAGCACATAAAGACGCCTCTGATATTTATTAAAAGCATTGTGTGCCTTTCGTATCATCGCCGTGGCCGAAGGAAACCGCGGTTCGCTCTGCGGAGAGCTGTGGAAATAAACACAAAACGACGTGTTTTCTGCAAACACCACGTCGGGCTTGATCTTTGGTGAATGACCGTTTCCTTCAGAAGGCTCCGCGTTGTCACGCGCGGGGCCCCAAAATACACCTGGACACACCTCGTCTGCGGAGGGGAGGGGAGGGGGGGGGGGGGGGGGGGGTGAGAGGACCGTTTCTTGGGAAGCAGTGACGCGTGTGGTTCTTCTGAAGGTCTCCTGACAGTTGGTCCGCGCGCGCGCGCGCTCCGACGCGCGTAAAACGTCGCATCCCAACGGAACCACAAAGACATAAAAACATCTGTTTAAAACAATCAAAACAAAAACAACTGGGGGAAAAAAAAACACAGCAACACAACCAGTTCTATGCTACACATTTACCAGGAGATGGAATAAAGCAGATTTATGACGCTCTCTCTCTCTCTCTCTCTCTCTCTCTCTCTCTCTCTCTCTCTGTGCTTCCCCCTTATTTCGCGGTTCAGTGGCCTCACGCGGCGGGCAAAGGGGAGGTTTTCTCTCGCTGCTCATTGGTCGCGGCTCCCGCATCGCAGCGAGGTCTCCATTCATACACCCGGGCGCTGCTTTTCAGACACTTTCTTCTCTCTAAATAACTCACTGTCAACATCTTTGGGAGAAGAAAAAAAAAACGGGCTTCGCCTGCACGGGACTTAATTACGTAGCATTTGGCGGTGGGGCTGATTCGATCGAAATATTCAGATCCAACGACCGAGAGAAAAAAATAAAACGACAGGTGAGTGAGAGGGGGGGGGGGGGGGGTCGCTTTTGTGGAAATAAGTCCTTGCTCGGCGACTCTGCAGCGTGGGTGTGCACGCAAGATGGCAACACGTCGTTTCCCACTTTGCTTCGCCGTGCAGTCCGATTCGAGGGTGTTTTTTGGGGGGGGGGCGCGAGGCGGATATAGCGGACTAAACCGCGGCGTCCACCTTGACGCTGTTGGGGTTAATGTTAATATTTATTTGCGCTACGCTTTGTTGTTCGAACGATTCGCTTCACCCGTGGCAAAAGAAAAATAGTTTTGCTATCGAGAAAAAATAAATAAAAATAAACTTGTGTCAGCTCACCTCTTCGCTGTCTCTTCTATAAGGGGCTTTAGTCTTTACGAGGAAGACAGAAAGAAAAAAAAAGATAATGGAATGCGCATTCGCTGAATATCGGTTCGCTCTCGTCTGTGATGGATAACAGCGAGGTAAGATGCTTAAAATGTAACACTAGAGGGGTGCCGGCCCACGGGGCTGTCTGGGAGGGAGGTTCACGCCGTTATTCACCAGTCCTCCTGCGCCTAATTGGCTGCAGATGCGGTGTCCTATACGCTCCTTTTTTTTTTTTTTACCGCGTATAAATTGGATGCATCTGAGGAGCTTTATGAGGCGAGCCCCGCGTTTGCATGCAGGAGCCCAGAGGACAAAAAAAAACCCAATGATATACCGTGCCACGTTTATACGGAAGCCCTCTCTCTTTTTTGCTGTTGATAATTTATCAAAGACCAGGAATTGAAGGAAATACTCGATAAACCGATAAATCGATGAACCCACGAGCTGTTAAACCCCTGGATGTGTTCTAGGGAAGATGTGCCTCTGCCTTCTCTTTTATTTTGTAAAGTTTCAGATGCCACGATCCAATCGGGGAAATGATCAGGTCAGAGTGAACGGCGTGAAAGGCCTGAAACTTTAGAGGTCTTGAATAAACGCAGAGGTCAATATTCGTTCATTTGCTTCCTCACACACTCTATATAACTGCCATTCGTGACGGCACATGCCACTGCCTTCCTAATGATTGCACGCGGAGGGAAGGGCTAAAGACTCCGTCCTCTAAGTGCCCTTTCACCCCAGACTTTGTAAGCTGCTCTTATTAAAGCGAAAAGTGTTTCAATATGTGGTAAGCTTCAAGGGGGGGGGGGGGGGGGGGACGCGATGGGGGTGGGGATGGGGCCCTCTTGTTCTTCTTCTCGCTGGCCTGCTCCTTTTTTTGGGGCGACTTGGAGTCGTTCATCCATGGCACCCGGCGGGGTCAGTGGCGCATCGGTTGGCGTTATTACCGGACGGGCCGGGGTAATTAAAAGCCGCGCGCATCTAATGCCCCTGACCACTGTGGAGAGAAATGAGGCCTCTATGACTCAATTGGGGGGGATTATGTGCGCAGTCGGGCGTGCAGGGGGGGGGGGGGGGCATTGGGTAAACTCGACTTTCCCTTTATTGCGATGGAAGTGGATGTTCATAATACCTGCGGTACTTGCCGGATGTTTGCTGTCAGGTGTAAATGTAGTGATGGCAACAAGAAAATGAAGTCGGTAGATTTTTTTTCTCCAGGAAAGAGGAAAGTTCAGCTAAATGTCCCAAGACGATTTAAGAATAACACAAATAAGACGACACATAAAGCATCCAAATAATAATAATAATTATAAACAATAATAATAATATTCAAATATTATTTATGATCCCTTTCCCAGAGCCCAGGACACTGATCACCCTTGGGCCTGTCTGTCAAGTAGACATGTTTCAAACTGTCCCTGACACGTCGTCTTACGTCAAGGTAAGACACCACCGTCTCTTCGATCAGGTAACGTTGAAAGGGACAAACTTGGGGTCCTTTCAATTTATTTTTTTAAATTTTTTTTAATTTAGTTATTCAGGCTGTGATGTTCAACCATATATCGACCTTTTTTGATAACTAGTTTAATGTGCAATCTCCCCAATTATTTCCATTGGAAACAAATATAATTAACAGATCACAGTGCATTTTAATCCATGAATTATATCTTGTGGAATTATAATGTATGGGTGGGTTATTTCCCCCTCTGTTTAAGTGAAATTTAGCTCTGTTGGTCAAGTATATTCGTATAAAGGCTGCTTTTATGGCTCATTATTATGTTTGACGTCATGTCCCCCACCCACCCCCCCACCCGAACTTTTTCTCTCACTGCCACCGTCTTGAGAACGTAAATAAAGCAAAAAACGCCCATCTGGTTTTCACATTAAACATCCTGCATCGCAACGCAACTGCTTCATATTTGAGGGGCTCTGGAACCACGATCACACACACACACACACACACACACACACACACACACACACACACACACACACACACACACACACACACACACACACACACACACACATATATATATATATATTATGAGAGGTCCACATAAAGTCCACATAATGTCAAGTTCAACGTCCACTTTGCTCACGTTCAGTGCGTCAGTTAATTTGGCAGCATTATGTTTGCTGACATCCATCATAATAATCTCCCGAGGGTCACTGCTCGCATTGTGCCTGATTAAAATGAGCCATTGTGCGGCGGCGAGCGATGGTAATATCTTCATAATCAAGGTATTTTTCCAAGGCCGACTTGTTAATGTTTTGAAGACTTATTTGACCATTGGAATAAGGGCTCTTTTCATGGAGCCGGAGCGTTGTGCCGCTGCAGAGAGACTCGGTGTTTCAGCAGCTCGGAACAATTCCCGATCTGTTGTGAGAGAGTTGAATAGCGCGGAATGTTTGAGGAGAAAATATGGTTTCAAATGAGCCTTTCTGCTCCCTAATAAAAGACAGGAGGCCAATGGGCAAGAACAGACAGAGGTGGAGTGACAGCAGCGCAGAAGGAGTTAACGTTCACATCTACAGTAATTGCGTATAGCTTTTTGGATTTGCTGTGGACATGCGGCTTGAATTTATTATTTTTTCTTATTCCAATATTTTTTTTTGTCCCCGACTAAGCGGTAGCGTGCTTTTTTGTATTATCTGCGTGCGAGTACTGCGCTCCCTGGCTCAGTCACACGCAGAGAGATATTGGTCAGTATGTGGCACGCCTCAATACAAAACTCAAAGAAATATTCGTCGTTGGAGCGAATCCTCGGCCCAACATTTGGTTTTGTTTGGTTAAGGCCAGGCGAGACTGGAACCCTCCAATAAAAATAAATCTCAAATTAATTATGGCCTAGAGCGAGAGGCCAGACAGTTCGTGCTTATATGTGCTGCAGACTCCACTTTTTGCCCTGAGTATTTTGACTAGGCCTGTCCTTTAGCCCGAGAGAAGGAATGACCTGAATACAAATATGCTGTCTAAACAACAACGGGCCTCTCAAGCACGACTCTCATATTGAAATGGGACTATTTCTTTTCTTCTTCTGATTGATAACCGTCCTCCGTAAAAACACACTTTCATTCACAACTCAGGACCGATCAAAATGAGGTGCAACCTTAAATGTGTAAACTTGACTATAACAAAAATATATATGTAAACATAAACACATTGTTGGGTCCAATTTCCCACGTTGGCTTGTTTTGATAAAGTGTTGGCCCGCCATGCAGCTGAATCCAATCAAGACTATTAAAAAAAAAAAAAGTGCCTGATTAAAGAAACTTCTCGAAGGGGGGGTGTTTCCATCTCGACTGATTGTTTTCACTTGTAAAGCCTCTGCGACCAAAAACGACGCCCGACGCTCACTTTCTCCAAGACTGTGACCAAATACCTCAATCTTAGCAGATCTAAAAAAAAAAATCAGGGCCGGGCCTGACAATTGAAAGGCTTGCTGAACGCAAGCTCTGCATAGTGTGCCCCCCCCCCCCCCCCCTAAACCCAAAAACTGGGGACATTGGCCCGGCGGGAAAGAAAAGAGAGGTTATGGGTCTGTGGGTAGGGGACTAAAAGTTCTGGTTGTCTAGTTCCAGCGTCGAGCCAGATGTTCTGTGGTTCGCTGTGTAAACCAACTTGCATCTGTTTATTGGCCTTCAAAAATGTTTGTTGCCGCTGCATTCATTAGGGTGCCGGTAGGTCCTGGACCCCCTGTCTTCTTAATACGCTCCATGACGGGGCCGCCAGGTATTTTGATACGAAGGGCGCAATGTGGTTTGAGGCAAGATGTTGGCGAGATGTCGGTTGATGAGAAAATTCCACCGCGTAAAGGTTTAGTGTCACTTGAAAAGCATGCTGGAAAACTCTTGCTTAACACTGCATTTAAATTATTTACACAACCCAAACTCATCAGGGTGCGATGGATGGATTAATGGAAATCCAAAGACGCAGGAAAAAAAAAACTATAATCTGGTGTTTTAAGAGATATTTGTTACTGGTTATATGGGTATGGTGAATAACTTACGGTCAAATCTTAAGCACCTCGTTAATTTGCGCCATTTTATCGCTTATCTATTTTTAATACATACGCAGGAATGTATAGAAAAAGAAAAAAATGAACAAAACCAGTCACCGAAGAGTTAAACAAGGTGTCTCCCTTAATTACACGAGTCTGAACTGGCCTCAGGCAGGAGAAGCCTTGACCCTTAGCAGGATCCAGATGTGGCGATCCCAAGGGTGGGGGGGGCGCTCGGCCCCACCAGACCCCCAACTAGAGAGCAGACAGGCCGACCCCGCTGTCAGTCGTTGGCCACTCTCGAGGCAGAACTTGAACACTGCAAAGAAATATCCATCATCACATTGGTTCAATCAGTTAAAAAAAGAAAAGAAAAGATTTCCTTGATACTGGTGGCACAATTGATGATCCAAGATGGTAATAAAATAAATAAATTCCCTGAAAATGTTTCCACGAGTTCATTACCGGTTTCTTTTTTCACCGAACAGCTGCATGTGCCGTGAAGTATACACGTTTCTTGCAGTGACATCGGTCTATTCGCCTTTAGCGCTGACTCCCTGTCTAGCATCTGCACTAAAATTATACTTGAATTGATGAGGGCAATTTCATCGGGCGGACGAAAGGGGGAAGGGGGAAGGGGGGGGGGGGGGGTATACCCATGTGGGGGTGGGGATTAAGGGATTTCTCTTTTGATCCTCCAGCGAGTTGGGAAGAAGAAGGGAAAAAAAGACATTTGATAACAACCGCCAACACCCATAAGAGTGACACCCCTGGATTTGAGGGACCCTTTCAACTGCGGCCCCTTTTCCTTCTTGGATTTTCATCCAATCAGGCCTGCGCTGCACCGCAGACGCGCACGTGTACAGCAGACCTCGAGACTGCGGCGCGGTTAAGATCCGAACGCTTGGGTTTTTTATTAATGGTGTCTCAGGGAAACTTCACAGAGAGCTGTAACAAAAACAAAGACGAGGTGTCTTGCCATTATGCGTTCATGGTTTCGATCCGGCGGGGATTTAGAGCTCGCTCCACAGTAAAAGAGAAGCATCTGTCCGCATTCAAAGACAGACTATCGTTTCAGCTGATACCGGCTGATGCGCAGAGGGATGGATGGAGGCATGGATGGCAGTTTGAAGTGTAGGCGTGAACCAAAACATGCAGCTCACATAACTTAAAGAGTGTCCCGCGACATCGAGCCTCATTTCCGAAAACCGCAGTGAAATGTGTGCAGAAATAAGTCACGATTCGGACAAATAGAAAGCTCTTCCACGCCGTCTGTGACATTACTGGGAAATGAAAACACACGAGGCGATTCTACAGCGGGCTACGCGGCAATGGCTGTGCGCAACGCAGGCAGTCATCCTGTAAATATTTCCGAGCAGAAAAACATAACAGCGGAGCGAACACTCAATTGTTTTCCTTGCTTATCTCTCCGGGACAGTATCCTGCTTTTTTTTTTTTTTTGAAGGCAGGGCTTTCGGTGACACACAGCTTCCTCCTCAACCTTCTCAACAGTGGTGACTTCACTTCCCAAATTTAGAGGAGAGAAAAAACTCAATCCGGTAAAAAGTGTCTCTTTCTCTCTGCCACATACCGGGGGCTGGAATTAATTCGGGAGCGGGTCATGTTTGGGATGTTGTCGGGGTCCGCTGAAAATTGCGCAAAATGGACGGAACTATTAAGGTAAGGGTGGAGAACGGGGTGTATGAGTGTGTGGGAGACCGCTTTTTCGAAGTTGCGCCTCCTTTTTTTTTAAGCAATGGGTTTGAAATGCCCCTCGGTGTCGGTCTGTGAGCTGCGACCTCCGATCGAACGACGATGAGCGGCTTTCTCCCCTCTGTTTGAAAGCGGTAACCGGATTTCTTTTCTTTTCCCCCTTTATTTCAAAGTAGCTACTCCTATTTGTTCTTCTCCAGTAAGCTGCCTTGTTGTGAGGATGTGTTGCGCTGTGGAATTCAGGGCTAAATCGGAATCACGCTTTGGATTTTTGGGGCCAAGCGCACAATTACGCGCGTCTGGAATAGGCGAGCGAAAGAAGCGGCTGTTTATTTCAGAAGAGCAGAGTGTACTTTCCATAGAGGTGTAAGCAATCGACGAAGTCGACGATTTTGGTCTGGTCTGGGCAGCGAACGGGGGATTGAGCAATGTCCATGACTGGATGTACCGCTGGATACGATGTGCCGAGCTGCGCAACAGCGGTGTGGCGCGTCGCCCGGCTGGGTCCGAAGATCCCGTCGTGTGTGTCAAAAAGTGTGACGATTTTGTATTCACAAAAGAAATACTACTATTTCTCCATGTGTAACTGTTCACAATTGTTACCTTTCTCCCTCCGCCGCACAGAGACTCTTTTTCGAAAGTGTAAGGAACGCTGTCATTTGGTAACTTGATGCGGTAACCGCTCAGTTTGCAACACTTAAAACCCACAAGCTTCACAATGATACCTTGGCTTGCTCCTTATATAGTTGCACAACTATTTTGAAACGGTATGTCGGTAGCGCCGGTCTACATTAACTGTGGCTTCTGGCCCCGGCAGTCAAATTCCAGATGCATTATGACTTCAGCCACCAGATGTTGAGTGGCCAGTCCCCCGTTAGTTCACCCTGCGGCGCGTTTCGTCTGCGTCCACCGGTCAACACGTGTGAGCGCAGGAGAATGTCCGCATTCGCTCTCGTCGTTGCTGAAAAGTAACACGGCGTGTTTTCTTTTAGAAATTCAAAGTATAGCGGCTTTGTGGCGGCTGGGTGTGGTGTGCGTGTAAACCTTGGCAAGACAAAAAAAAATAAACGCCAGGCTTCGTATATGGTCACATCAGTTGCGTCATTCATCCATCACAGCGGCGCGATTGTTTTGTTCCGCATCGGGGACGACAGCCACGCTGCAGGGGGACATTGGTGTCTCAGCCTGGATGTTTGCGACGCCGCGGAGGAGCTGCGGCAATCACCGTAATCATAATTGAGTCCTTGGGTGTAAATGACACGCCGCTGTAGCTGCATTCATGCCCGCCAAAGGAAAGGAAGGGCTCTCTAGCCATGAGAGCTTCCTGCTCCGCGCAATCTTTTCCTGACAGGTTTCCTCTTCCTCCTTAAACAAAAGAATGGAATGCCCCCCCCCCCTCCCCCCCACCCTCCTTCACCCTGGGTGTCTCCTGCTTGATTGTGTGTGAACGTCAAACCATCACACGTGTAGTCTGGATGTGGTCCAGTCTGGGCCAGACGCGTCGTGAAGCATTTGGAGAGAAGGACTTAGTTGATGTGAACACAACAGAGGTGGCTCCCAGCAGGTGTCACACTAGCACAATGCTAGCGATGGGGGTGAGCAGGTGAACAGTGGAGATATGATTCATTTTATGTTTCCCCCCTTTGTCATGTGGCACTGCGGAAAAGAAATAATGCATGAAAAGTAGAATTCACATTTTATATATATATATATGTTCCCATGAATTGTAAAGTATTTGTGCTGGTCCTAGAGATGAATTCATTTGGGATGTTTAAGTGGCAAACTATCATTGTGAGGCAGACAGAAAACTGAAAATGTGCGTGTTCCTCACCGATAGTGGACAGAAAACCCAGGACACTGCTCCGTCATCCGCTCAGCTTCTCCTCAGTGGCGTGATGCTATTTATTTTTAAAACTCTACAATCTTAATAGGCACACACCACTTGCCAATCGTGGTTTAAATTGCACAGGCTGATATGTCACTGTAATTATAACATGCAACAGTCATAATGGCTCAGCGAGCCCTTATCGGGCTGTAATGAGACATTCCCTCACTCTTCCACACTTTATCATCCACAGACATAGCTGGTGCTCTACACAGATAGCGAGCTCTCCTGCCAGGCTTTAGATTATGATGGATCCCCCGATGAAATCTAATTCTGGCGAATTGGTTAAACGCTCTGTAGAAGTTCAGCCATTTTAAATCCGCTTAAATTGAAAGTAGTTATTTTTTTGAATTAGTAAAAACCTTTTGGAGGGAAATAGAAGAAGCCGTCTGACCGTCTTTGAAAGACACTCCTGTCAATGAGGATTTTGGACTCGTCCAACTACTCCTCCCTACAGCATTAAAACAGAAGACAGGTGTCCGTTTTCAAGCTGTCAAACTTAGTAAACATTTGTATACTTTGTTCTGTTTCGACTTGGCGGGTCTGTGGCATTACAACAGAGGGCACTGTGGGGCAATTAAAACCCTTTATGATCGCTGAGACCACCAAAACTTCATTCAATGACTTGATGGAAGGCTTCATCTCTCTCTTCCCTTCATTGGAGCAGTTTGTACACTTATCGTCCATATATGGTCCAAATCTTCAAAAATTAGTAAAGCATTTGACTCGTAGCTTTTTGCTAAACGTATACACGTGTCTTGCTAAACTAAAAGGTTTAGTAAAGCTGATGCTTTCTCTTTCATCAACCAAAAGTGTTCTCACTGCCTTGAAAGAAACCTAGTTTCCCAATATTGTTAAAAGTAATACGTGTTGTATTTTCCAATTTTGTATGAAAATGGTGTAATTGAAAGAGCATCACTGCCATGTATAGTCACTGTCATGTTTTTCTGTATGCGATTCCAGAATATACCAAATACACTTTTGAAGTCACCTTCTATTTTTCCTATTGAAAACGTTTGGCTCAAAAAGAGACATTTATTATCCAAACGGAGATGAGGGAAAACGTTCTACTTGCATGACATATCTTAGAATGGAATGATCCTGAATTTATGTGAGATTACTCGGATATTGCTTTCTTTGAAACAACTTTTTACAAAATGCAAAAAGCTGCATTTTGGACATACTGATCAATGAATATCAAGCAGCATTTTCCCCCTGAAGCAGATATGTGGCATTTTGAAATGAAATAATTCAGTCCTCGGGAATTAGACACGTCTCGGCCTAAGCTCTGCCATCAGATCCAGATGTGCGTCAGACCCCAACCTAATCCACAGCAGAAGCATATGACTGTAATGAATTCACTTGATATTCTGACTTATCGTTTTTTTTGCATTTGTTGGTTTGGTCGTCGCTAACAATGATGGATGGAACAACGGTACAGAACAACATGAGCAGACTAACCCAGTTATTGTCAAGTAGTATCCCCACTCATCTATTGGTGGCCTGGCATCAGTCTGAGATGGAGACATTGCCCAACTCTGTTCATTGTCAAACACTAAACGGCGACATCTGTATAGTCAAATGTAACACATCCAGTACACAATCCGTGCTTTACTTGCAAGACATTACAGAAGGAGCACGGACGTAATATCTTGGCCAACCCCGAGTGTCTGAGTTTGTTTTCTTTAATAAACTTACGCTGCTCCAGCTGAGCTACAGCAGAGGGGTCAGTGTAGCTGCGAGTTCCCCCCTTGGCTTCTGTTGAGTCTTCAGCTATGGAGGGAAACACAAAGATCAGGGCATGTCAGGGGATTTTTGGGTCCAATGAAAGTTAAGAATGAGTGTGGGGAGGGGGATTATTACACAGTCAGGAATCTGAAAAATTTGGTTTGGCATATTTGTAATTGTCAATAAACGGGAGAAGTTGCACAGCTATTGTTTGGGATTCAGTTCTGAAACGAATGCGTCGGGAGAAAAGCTGTATGTATTGACTGACAGTGGTAGTAAAGCAACGCCTTGATTGAGTCACAGACTTACTGCTAACTGTCTTACTCCACTGTGGTCATGATTGAAGTTCCCCTAACATCAACAGGAAGTTATTGCTACGTGGGTTTTGTACACAAACTATTTGGATGCCAGACAGCGATATGACCCATAACTGCTCATAATTGCTGTAAACAAAAAATACTCAAGAGATTGAAAATATGACGTCATAAAATACATGAATTGTATCTGCTAATGTTTTTTTTTTTCTTATCATAGGACATGGTTAGGTATGTAATCTGACATTTTGGGAAAAACATCTTATTTCTTTTATTTAGTTTTTATTTGGATGACCAAATTGCTAATACTCTCATACATGTTTGTGACAAAACTAGTCAGGAAGCGCTAAGCATTGCTTAGCATAAAAGTCCAAAAGTAAAACCATTTTTCTTCAGAAACCATCGAAACGAAAGTCCGGCAAGCAGCAGAGCCACCGGGAGTCCCTTTGCCTATTTACCACCCATGATGGGTTGATTAGTAAGCCTTAGAGGGGTTGGTAGGAAGGCGTATTTTGTCATATTTAAAGCTAAGCTAACTACCTGCTGGATGTGGCCTTATTCCAAAACGAACATACTTAAGAGTGGTATTGATCATCTTATTATCTCTGCAAAGAAGCAACTTAGATTGTGTTCCAGTGTTGGGTGGGATTGCGCTATACGAAAGCTCAAATGCCTGCACTTAAAGTAAAGTGAATTGAAAAAGCCATACCAAGTATTCTTTCCTTCAACCTACAGGAGGCGCTTTCAGTGGTGAGTGAAGACCAGTCCCTATTCGAGCCTCCGTACGCTGCTGCTGCCCCTCTCCCCAAGACAGACATGACTGCATCTGGCACACAGGACTACGGCCAGACACACAAAATAAACCCCTTACCCCCACAGCAGGAGTGGATCAACCAGCCGGTGCGGGTCAACGTCAAGAGAGAATATGAGCACATGAATGGATCTAGGTATGGCATGACGACCACATCCTGTGTCTTACATTACTCGGAGATACGAGTTTGTATCCATCTTCATTAGACATATTCAACATTCTGTGTCCAGCCCCAAACCTACTCCCGTGAATGCGGGCAGCGGCCATTTAAACAGGCCGTTTCTTTACCACGACAAACCTTCACTTATTCCTTCCAATCTTCAGTTTACCTGCCGAAGCCAGTTTAGTACTCATCCATCCCACGCCAAAGTCAATGGCTGGAAAAGAAAACCAACAACACCCAAATTATCTGCTGACCGCAATCATCTTTATAACGTTCCTGTGCGTGCGTGTGTGTGTGTGTGTGTGTGTGTTTTTGTGTAGCAGGGAGTCTCCAGTGGACTGCAGTGTGGGTAAATGCAATAAGCTTGTGGGGAGTAATGACACATCTCAGATGAACTATGGAAACTACATGGATGAGAAGAACGCCCCTCCCCCCAACATGACCACCAATGAGCGCAGAGTCATAGTACCGGCAGGTATGTAATGATGAAAAGCACGTATAAATTAAAAAATAATGTCTTGACATGAATATGTGGCATAAAACAGCGTCGGTGTACTCGCACCGCCTATTTATACAGGTGCTAATTGTTTGTAGGCTTTTATTAGTGTTGCGGCTGCAATTGCAGACAGAATCAGTCTTCTGTTTTGGTATAATTTTGTCAGTGCTGTAAATGTTTTATGAGTCCCAGTTCTATTTAGCTGGTTTGTGAGGTAAAGCATTGTTCCAATGTTTTATGTCACTCATGGGAGCACGGCTGAATGCGTGCAGGTAGAACCATGTATTTTCCAATATGTGAAATATCACAGTTCAGGCAGTAACAAGAGCAAGTTGAGGGTTAAAACCTTTAGAAATTAGGTTTTAAAATGTAAGTTGGTACACGTAAGCCAAAGAGACTGATTGTACTGTCCTAGAAAATAAGCACATGTTGTTCAATTAAATTAAAATGTAATGATGACTTGGGAAATCTTGTAAAGGCTGTTCACATGTTAAACTGTGCTAGACTGATGCAAACATCCCCTCATATATTAACCTTATAGGCACTCCACATGTAGGCCACTCCCTAACCACATGTGCTTTGGCTGGAGTTTTGGTTTCCATATATGTTATGCAGTATATCAGACCGGGTTCTATTCTATTCACAAATGTGATGTGAATGTAATGTAAAAACACAGGAAGAGATTTCTGTGAATGATCGTTTATCCGAATGGGAGTCATATGGTAAATCCCATTCGTGCTGTTAAAACAAGACAAAGAATATTTACAACTACCTGAGACAAGCTCTGCTACTGATCCAAAATTCTGTTTTCAATTTGTCCATTGTTCCGCCCGCCTTTACCTCAGTCGGATACAAGGTTCTCCCAGGTCTGGTGTCTGTCCAGGAACAGATTCCTTCTGGTATCAATAAAGTTCTCCTCTCTTCTGCAGACCCCTCCTTGTGGTCTCAGGACCACGTGCGGCAGTGGCTGGAGTGGGCCATCAAGGAGTACGGCCTGTTAGAGATCGACACGGCCATGTTTCACAACACAGACGGCAAGGAGCTCTGCAAGATGGGCAAGGACGACTTTCTCCGGCTCACCACCATGTACAATGCCGAAGTGCTTCTCTCTCATCTCAATTACCTCAGGGAAAGTAAGTAAACTGTGTGCAACTTAGCACAGAAAGGTGAATGGAGACGAACGTTGGATGTAAATCTATTGAAATGTTGTTGGAACAAATATTTGAATCATACAGAAACATTTTGGACAATTGAAAATAATCCAATCTTTTTTCGTGTACCGTTTTACCTCCCGCTGTCTGATCTAACTTCAGTTATAATTTATTTTTCTCTACTTTTGATGAGAAGTGCCAGTTAAATAATGCCAAACCCAAGCGAACAACACCAAACTTTATTTAGTCACCACCTTGTACTCATATTAATGAACAATGAAATTGCCTTTACTGGAAACTTTTTCCATAATGGCTACCCAGTATTAGTCAGAGCTGTGGAAACCTTCTCAAGATAACCATCGACTACATCCCCCACTTGACTTTGCTGCGCCTTATTCCACATGGTCCAGAAAGATGGTGCCCAGGTGCATCGCCTCAGGAATCACGCTAGGCTCGTGTGTTCAGCACAGCAAAGAAAGTTGATCTGCGATTTGCAATGGAGGCAACTGAATTCAAGCCTATTCCTTTTGAAGAATTCCTCATTGCAGTCCGGCCTTGAATGTTTCGGCGGGGAAACACAGCCAAAATTTCTGAGGCGGTATGCAAATTGTATTTTGATATAGGATGTAACATCTGGCACGGCTGCTGCCTTGAATACACATTCGCGTTTAGTTCAGACCGTCGGTACGGCTAACGTTTACTTTGAAAATAAGTAGATCGAGAGGAATATGATTGTTGTGCACGCAGAAAACGGTTTGTCTCAACTTCTTTGCTTTTTGTACTGTGAGTGGTGAGAGCTGCTTCTGCTGTACTAATATAACGACACCACATTGGGTGGAGTGACTGACGGCTCAACTAAGTTTAGCATTACTCCCCAAAAATTGCGATGGGCCTCCGCGTGATGTAATGGGTACTGCGTTTTGTGGGTGTCAACAGTTTTCTCTGTGCGCGGCGTCTGGGCAGAGAGAGATGCCTGTCATGAGTATAACAGCCTCATTGTGCAGCGCTGCAGCGGGTGGATCTGTCCGACCGCCACTGGGCACGCTCTGCAGAGCCGTTTCATTATGGCCGATGGCTGCGTGACTTAGCCGCGGCTTAGGTGTGCTGCAGCGCCATCCTGCCCGATGTTGCCCGTTTTTAAATTTTTTTTTTTTAAATCTAGACCATGTGCGTCTTGCAGACAGAGAAGGTGTCTCGGGAATCCTCTCCACTTGCTAGTTGAAATTGCTTTGGCTCCGTTCCCGACAATCAAACGGATGAATGTTTCCGTCCCGGGCCTCGACTGACCGATGTGTTTTTGGGGCGACCGAGCGGTGTGTATTATTGACCCCGGGGAGCCTAAGGGCAGGAGGAACCATGTTAGTAAATGAATGTCTCGGGGAAGACGGAGACTGCGGAGGAAGAGGAGGAGGGTTGAGGCTTTATGCAGACCCTGCGGGGGCTGGCGATGTGGAAACTAAAGCTGCTCTCTCTTCCACCCCCCCCCCCCCCCCCAAAGCACAAACAAACACAATCATAGACGAGGAATAACCCCGTTCAGAAAAAAAAGACCGCTGGCTTCAGTCACGAGAGTTGGAGCCGGGCCGAGCTTTGGGAATACAGAAAGAGAGAGAGGAAGGGAAATACTAAGGAAGCATTACTGATTACGGGTCATGTGATGTCTTCCTCCAACCCCCGTTCACCGCCCTTCCCATTATTACCCCCCATCCTCGTCCAGAAAATGGATGCTACAAGGTCCAATCAGTTCATACACATCTGTGTACATCGTGTGTGTGTGTGTGTTTGGTTGTGTTTATTGGACCTCTGATTAACATTCCTCAGAGTCATTAAGCCCTGTACGTACACTGCGCACTGGGCAGGGACGCACTTCCCCACCCTACAGCCGTACGGCCAATACCATAACAAAACATTCCTGCCACGTCACGCGCTGAAATGTCGTTCTGACACCAACTTTGGTGCAACCGGGGGCCCAATCCGAACATCTTTCTGACTACCCAGCTGCTCACAGTAACGGGTAGTTGCCCATGCATTATTTTGGCCTCATTGTTGGTCACTTATCCCGATTTTTTTAAGTAATGGCTGCCCGCATCCAAATGTGCTTTCAATTTGGGGTGCAATTTGAGAATTTGTTCAAATTAGTCTGTCAGGGAGGGACCAAGGACTGTTTGCTTTATCGCACCCATGTAGGTCGGTTTGATACCACATGTGCTGGAAACGGAGCAGAGCAAAAAAAAAACCTCAATGAAACAATGAAATCCTCCGATAGACGGAGACTCTAGAAGAGACAGGGACAAATTAAAGGGGATTGTGGCGGGAATGTAAAGTGACCGGAGAACTGGGAATCTGCTTTGGCTATAAAGAAACAGGTTTAGAAAGGAGTTGATGAAATAACTCCTCGAATGATTTTACAGTAGTTATTTGAGGACACGGGTAGGAGGGTGTGAGCAAGAGAAACAATAATATAGAGCCAGTGTGGAAAAGAACAAAGAAGTCAAAAGGGGCGGTGAAGGATTTCTTTTAGAAGTGCGTGGAAACGGTCTGAGGTGGTCGTGATTGAGTGTTTTCTGGAGAATGGCAATAGTTCTGTTTCCCAGCTGTCGCCGTTGCTTGTGTGTCTGGATGGATTTACAGTGAGGGAGTCGAGGGAGAGAGAGAGAGAGAGTGATAAGTCTGGGCTTCTGCACCGCTGTTGCTCACGCCGGAGTGGGGGACATTCTCGAGCCCTCAATAGTTTATACAGACCATAAACATCTGGGCTCGAAGGCTGAGTAGGGAAAAAGGAGGTCTGGAGAGCGCTCCCTCTCTCTCTCTCTCTCGCTCTCTCTCTCTCTCCCCTCACAACATTTTTATTGAGCTCCCCCTGCATTAGTTCTTTCTATTGGCAGATTATCACTGGTGCACGGGGGCTCAATGGCCTGGCTGCGCGCCCTTTACTGTTAGCTGTCTGCAGTTAGCCGCCATTGCGGAGCAGTCTGCGGCTGCTCCCTTGAGCGCTGGGGTTCAGCCACTTAGCGCGAGTGGAATGCATGCACATATCACGTTAGCATTAGCTGCGGTGCACAATGAGCAGTTGCCATTGAGCTCGGCTGCAGTTAAAGCTAGCTGCTCAGTTGCATAATAACTGTGATCGCGAACCCTTCGCTGTCACCTTCTTCTGAGCACAATAAGGACTTCAGGTAATGAAACCAACTTTTGCGAGGGTTGGTTCCCAAAAGGTTGTTGGCTATTGTCAGGATGGTACGTGAACGGGGGTCTCTCTCTATCACGTTCATACACTTTATTGTTACACCACCGCCTCCTCACAGGTTGTGGGGTAACAACACCGCCCTGCGTCCGCATTTGATCTGCCACTTCAACAATTTATAGGTGACCCATTATGTTGTTGTGTTGCGAGGACAGTCTCAAACCCCTGAGTAGCTTCCCAGTATCCTTACACGTTCAATTTGTGACCTGCTCATCTGCAGCTCGGGGAAGCCTCTGTGTAGACCTCACATATAATATACAGTGTATACCTGTAATATACCTGTTAGCGTGCTTCATCTTCAACAGTGTTTTTGTAACTTCACATGGTTGATGATCACGTGTTCCTCGTTATCTCCCTCCTCTCCACGTGGATTTAGTCTCTGTCTCCTTGTTCACCTGTAACCGAATTGAATCTGGAAATACCGGATTTCACGGTACACTTCAGTAATTACTAAAGCATTGTAAACATAAAATTGATTTTCAAGCAACTTGAACAATCACAATCCGAGAGTGGAAATGTCAGCTAAGTCATCTTTCTGGAGAACCGGTTGCAGATATCTACTGAAAGGACGACCTATTGTTGGCCTTGGAGTCCCTTGGGCTGCCTTAAGGTGCGTAAAACTGGGTGAGTCAGTTTTGTTGACACGTCTCCGACCACATGTTTGACGCCGCGGTATCGCAGAGCCGCGCAGAGTAAACAGCGGGGGCCCGATGGAGGTCAATCCCAATGCTGAACAAGCGCCCCCCCCCCCCAAAAAAGAATCTCAAAATTGTGGCCGTGCAAAGGCCAGAGGACGGGGCCTTTTTGAAAGAGCCGAAAAAAAAGCAAATTGTTTGTGGATGTTTTGTAATGAGCAGATGTGACCAGAGAGGGACGGCGAGAACGAGGGTCTCGGAGGCTGAACACTGGCCAGCTCTCCCTCTGTGCTGTCAGATTACCGCGACATGTTTGTTTTCTAAGAAAGGAAGAAGCCGTCAAAATAAATGGGCAGCGCAGCCCAGACTCCCCCCGCCGTCAGCTGAGGGGGTCTCTCTCTCTCTCTCTCTCTCTCTCTCCCCTCAATCTCGCTCCCTCTCCCCCGCCCCGTCACAGACTCTCGCTCGTACGGCAACCCCTAATTTCTCTGTGGTGTGATTTGAGGTTTTCTCAGCGATGTTGCCTGTTTGCTTGTCTGGGTCAAGCCACATATGTGGCGCGCAGCGGGAAAAGGGTTAACAACCCCCACCCTCCCCCCCCTCCCGCCCTCCTTCCACCCATCCCTTTCCCCTATTTTTTTTTCTGGCCCGTCGGTTCATCTTTCTTTTACTCTTTCTCCCTCGTTCCAGAAGCTTTTGGTGGCTCGCCTGCCCCCCGTGCGCTCATACGCTCATACGCTCTGCGCTTTGGAATTATTTTTGTACGGGGAGCTGTGTTTGATTGCTGTGCAGGGACCCTGCCTCATACAATGGCTCCCCTGTTCTGAGGCCCCCGGGTTTCTAAACTAGACCCAGAGCCTTGGGGGTGCTGTGGAGTCGCTAGATTGGGAGGGGTGGGGTGTTGGGAGGAAGAAAGGAGTAGGGGGAGCCACCCACTTTTTTTTTTTTTTTTTTCCTTTCCCGACCTAAAAAAAAAAAAGACTTCTTATGTGGGCTATAGGGGACTATGTTTGCCCCCCCCCCCCCTCACCGGCCACCGGAGTTAGCTACTCAAATCTCTAGAAAGAAACATCACCAATTGAACTTTTATTTGGAGTTTTTGGGTCTTTCTCAGAAAAGGTGTTGTTCCTCGCTAAGCAGCCCTCCTTCTGTGTGCTGGAGCTTTGCTCTCCCCGAGCTGCTCTCCTGTTTTCACTGTGCATTTTTGGCTCTGTTTTTCCACTCGCTGATTTATGCCCGGGGGCAGCTAAAATTAAGAGAGTATTTTGGTGCCGCCCAGGGTGCCTGAGTAAGTGGAGGAATGCGGAGCAGAGTTTTGCTCCATAAGGTGAAATGAATAGGCGGCCATATGCAGACTGTTGCCTTTGACTTAATTATTCAGGAATCGGGTTTCGCAGTTAAAATGCTGACAGGCAATGGGGTGATGGGTGGTGGGAGGGGGGGGGGGGGGGCTACATTTTATTTACTAATTGTATGCTGGAAATGCTTATTCAGGAATAAATGTATGTATTGTGAATTTTGAAGACAACACTGGAACACAAAAAGGGAAATGGGTCCATGGTGCTGCTTGTCAGTGATTGAGCTGAGCCTTTTACTGCCCCCTGCTGGCTTTAGTTCCACAGCACCGGTGTGCTTTCAAGGAGTGTTTGACACGTACCTCTAATCACTGGATGATGTGTTAGTTCATGGAAATATGTATATTTCTTATCCAGTAGCTTTGATAGTAATTTGTCTGTAGTACAGGGCGGATGAGACATTGTTGGATCTTACTATGCCGTCTTTTGTCTCACTTACAGGTAGCTCATCATTATCCTACAATACGCCATCTCACGCAGACCCATCCCCACGTCTGGTTGCCAAGGAGGGTAGGGGCACATTTCTTTTATTCATCTTAATATGCTATTGTGTATGTTACATTTTTTTTGGACTACCTAAAGAGAAAGAACGAGAGACAAAATAAACTACGATTCAACTGTCAGCTTCAGGCAAGCGGATACACACAGAGCGCACACACCCTCGATAATACAGACGACTCACACAAATCCAAAGCTCCGTGCAGGTGCAGCTTTTGTGTCACTGCAATAATAATGGGCTAGCTGCTGCAGCGGACGCCGCCATTCAGAACTGCTACCTGAAGGCTGCGATGCAAAGTGGCTCAGAGCGGACGGGGTCAGAAGAGAGGCGTGTTTTATAACCAGGAGACAAAAGCAGTGTGCTGATGAGTTCAGTCCTCACCTGCATGGGGGGGTGAATGTGATGATTGTAGGAGAAAGGAGAGACGAATGAAGTGTGAAGGAGGATGTTTGACCGTCATCAAGGGCAGGTGCAGGAGCAAGTAAACGCGCGGTAAACACGGCAGAAGGTCACGACAGGCCGCTTGAGGGGGTGCGAGTGCGCGTTCAGTCTCCACCTGTCATTATACACAACAGAATCCATCTTAAGAGTGATTTTCAGTTTCTATTTAACAAAAGAAGAATCTATAGATTAGTTTTGGTTATTTTACTTTGAACACAGCTTTACTCCATTTTTTTCAATTAATAATTTTTTTATAGCTTGATTTTTCTTTAAATTCTTTCTATTTTCAAAATATTGACACTTTTACCTGGCGGACAGGAAGAATATGCCACCTTATTTATTTTTTTATTATGCTCTTTGTTAAAGAGCATAATAATAATAATAAGTCTTGGCTAGGCCCTTAGTGTTCACTTATTGTATGTCGCTTTGGATAAAAGCGTCAGCTAAATGCAATTTTCGGTTTGCAAGCCAAATAAACCCTGTTGCATCGCTGGTAATGTGTCACCAGTAAAATGATTTCAAACGGCAAGCCGAGGTCGTGCACGAACAGCGCCTACAGCAGCCCTGAACCTCTCTCTCCTCTATTTACCTTTTCACTCCACAAACATTATTTTGTGCTGACACGACACCAGCAAGACGAAGGCAGCCCTTTGTATCAATAGAAAAATCAACAACACATCCTATACGGTGTCACCAGAGACGGGAGAAAGGACTGCAATAACAGCGATAGCCTTGCTCACAGGATGAGGGGCCCTATTGAGGCGGGAGGAGAGGAAACACCGAGTCTGATAAGTGTCCCAGAATGCCCTCTGCCTCTCTCTCTCTCTCTCTCTCTATCTGCACCAGTGGTGAGCGTTAGCAGGCAGCGGACATGTTCCCTCCAGGCCGCAATACCAATAGAGCAATGGGCAGGCCAGATAAGATTCTGCTCGGTCACCCCGCGACCCCGGTCTTCCTGCTTCTCAGCGCCAGGTGTTTGGACTGGCAGGGACACGCGGTCACTCCCCTCGGCAGAATTTCCCTTTCACCAGCGGCGAGATCTATAATGGGCCCCTGTAACGCCGGGGCTGCGCCTCCACTCGCGATCCCGGGCCAACGAACGGCGAGTGGCCGAGGAAAGCCTCCGCGTCCTGCCGGGGGGACTTTTCAAGAATTCAGGAATTCAACCAACTTATCAGATTGATTCATTTTAAATTTACAATTTAAGTCAATGTATTTGTGTTGATCATAAGATTACGCAACAACAATGTCTACAAATGCACAGGAAGTGGTGCTTGTGGCTTCATTGTTGGGATCACTAACCAATGTAGATAACTGACTGAATTTGTTTTATACTGAACACATCAAGTGTCAAGTCATGAATTTTAGGGAATATGTCAGTTTTTTTTTGTAACAGTTTTGACAAACGGTGTCCTAGTTTCCGAACTATGAAATTAAACAATGTAATGAAAAAAAAAATTTAAAATTGAAAAGTTGGGGGAATGTGACTCAACAATAAAAGAGCTCTTGCTCCAGGAGAAGCCTTTATCAAAAATGTCCTCAGATCAGTGGTGCCAGATGTTCATATTGCCCTTCCACAGCAGTCAAATACCGCGCAGGCTCTTTGGGGCAGAGTAAGCACGAGCATGCAGCAGGAGACCACCCTTAATCTGCTCCAGACCGCGCGGTGTAAAATGCAATGTTATGAATAAAATAGAGCACATAAAACAGGGAATGCTGCAGCTATGAAAAGGTGTGTGCGTGTGTGGATATTAGTGCATCTAAAGTGTACTATTTGTCTTTGGATGGGCTTGTGTGGGTGGGTTCCCACATGTCTTAATGCAGCATGTGTTAGGGTCTGCATTTGTTTCGATTGTGGTATTATTTCGGGCGTTAATGTTTGCATACGAAACAACTTTGTTTGTCTGCAATGAGTCTTCCAACGGTTTGGGGGGTTTTTGGCTTCTGTTTAGGTGCTGCTGTGAACGTTTTGGAATTTGCAGCGTGGGCATTTGTATTTCTCCACTCTGTCGCCAAGTCAATGTGCCGATACGGCCGTTAGTGTGCCGTTATTTCTACGTTCACCACTTTCAATTGCTCGCTTTTGCATTCTGAACATGAAGGAAAAGAAACGAATGACGACGCAATATTTTTTCTTAAAAACCATAATATTTACAACAATGCACTTGCATATTACACAATTATGTCTATTCAAGTCGGCAGTCCCCTGTTGCTCGGAAGAATTTGCTTCCCATTGCGACGGCTTTCGAAAGCACCTGTGTTACGATATTAAAAAAGTTTGCCCTGTCTGGGTCTCTCTGTCTGTCTCACCCTCTCTGCTCAGCTGTTCTCTCCCTCTCTCGCCTCCCGCTGTCTTTCTGTGTCTCTCTGCCTCTCTCTGTCTGGCACTCGGGGGCTTGTTTTGACTAACGTGTCCTGCAGTCCAAGTCTCCCAGGAGCGTGCACCACACCCCAGAGCCGAGTGGAAACTGGCTCCAGTCGCAGTCAGTGCGAAGCCTGGAAAAATGAAGGGGGCGGGTGTGGTGGGGGGGGTTGTTGGTAGAAGAGCCGGCTTTGTGCTCTTTAGGGTCTGCGTTGGGGCCCTTTTTGTTTTACATCTTCTGCTCCTTCCTTTTTCTGCACTTCTCGCCTCCTTCCCCTTTCAACTCGCCCCAAGCAAAAGCAAAAGCAAAATCTCTTCATCATTAATGTCATTTACAGACAACAACCAAAGGTATGCAAGGGATGTAAAAGCCCTCGTCCCGCCCGCACCAGCAGGCTTTTGCTGCCCTTGCTTTCTTTTCGAATTCCCAAGTCGTGTTTTTTTCGTCTGACTTTTTCAAATGTTTTTTCTTATTCTCTTCTTTCTATTTCCAGCCTTTTCGTGCCCTTAGTCACCCTCCCTCCGTCCTCCACCGTCGGCCTCTCGATGAAGTCTCTCACTGCGACTCCCTCACCCTCTTTGTCACTTCTGCCCCCCCTCACCTACCTGTTTGTGACCTCGGCTCTTCACGTATGGAGGTAGCCCCGTTGTGTTTTTTCGGGGGAGTGGAGAGAGGCTGAAGGGGGGCTGGCAGTGAGTAGGGGGGTGGGGGGGCTGGGGGGGTAGTAAAACAAAGAGAGGTTGTCTGCAGGCGAGAGTCAGGCAGGAAACGCAAGTCTCCCAGGACTCTCCCCCAGTCACTGCTCCTTGGCTGTCCTGCCGGCCCACGCCGGATTGAACCTGACAGCCCCGCTGAGCCCCGGCAGCCCGTTTCTTATTCGTCTCTCTTCTCCCTCTGTCTCTCTGTTGCACTCTGCTTTCTTTCGGTCTTTTGATCCTATGCACTTTTTCTTTAGCTCTGTTGCAAGCTCATATCCTTCAATTACTTCACTCTCACGTTTTGGCACCATTGCTTCTACCGTCTACTCCCTCTTTTTAGGTTGCGGGGACCAGTCTGCAGATGCATGGGCTCTTTGCTGAAAACAAAAGTTTAAAAGTTAGAAATGATAAAGCAGCGTAGAAGATCGCGTGGTGTCTACTGAAGAAAGCAGCATACCTATTATCTCTAGAACATTATGAAAGTAGTAAAACAATGAAACGCTCGGACGGGCGCTGTTTCCATGGTTACAATGAGATGATGGAGCAATAATGATTTTGTGTTTTTATTATTTGTTGTTTAGTTCAAGGAAAACTAAACTGTCCCAAACCACAGGAGGGCAGTGTGGTACAGTGTGCAGAGATGGTCATTCACCAGGTGGAAGCTGATAGTGGATGTTTGTTGATGTCAGTGGAAGCTCCCCTGGTGTTGCTGGTTATTTGAGTAAAGATGGCATACAACGTCTAAAGGTGTTAGGCTCATTCATGTTAGTCATTCATTCAGAAAACACGCATCTCGCTCTTAAAATAAGCCTTTTCAAATGAATGAATACTATCTGTAAAGTGCAGAAGGAGATGCACAGTACCAGTCAAAAGTATGGACACACTCTCGCATTGTGTCAAACCTTTGTCTGGTACTATATATATGTATATTTCATAGTGAACATGCTATTCTTTGTTAGGAGTGACTGATGGATTACTAACTGCACTGATTAAGACGCAGCTAAGAATAATTTGCAACGGCAAACAAACAAACACCTACACATACACAAAATGGATTTGAAGTCTGGTAACAACACACTCCCTCACTCAGAACATAATCTAATGATCTATTCATGTGGATAATTAGTTATGCTCATTGTGTGGCTTGCCCCCAATGTATCAGATGAGGACCTGAAGCCTTTGTTTCAGAAATTGTGTTTTAGCAAGTGCAACAAAAAAAAAAGACAATATATGGATAGAAACACCCATCTTTGATTGTCAAGATGCCATTAACTGACAGGAAATGGGATTGCTCCTTAACCTTCAAACAGCTTTCTTGTCCTATCAACAACCTCCGCCTTTAGACTGTCGCTATCCGCTGCCCTCTGCTGACGAAAAAGACTCGCAGATTACGATGACACTACGAAAGAAATGCTGCACTCAATTCAGTGACGAGCATGCAAAGCTACGAGATTATATTTTATTCTGGTAGCTGATTGAGCTGTTTTGTGCGGCGGGTGCTGGCCAGCTGCACTGTGAGTGCAGCAGGGGATTTCTGAGAGATGGCCAGGGGAAGAATACATTCTCTTTTTTTTTTTATATCTGTTTGTGTCAGTGATTGATTGTTACTGGAAGCTGCCCAGCTTCACAATAGAACTCATGTAAACGCAGCCAGTTTGGCCGCCTGTCAAGGTTTTCACAAAGGCCTCTTGTGTGTGCGTGAAGAGGGGCGAGGATGAACACCACGAGCTCGCATTGTCTGCGTTCATTTGCATCCGGTCCTTTTGCTTTGTGGTGTTGCGGGCCGCCCGGCCGACTGTGTCCTGTTAGAGGTTGATTGATTACACACGGCGGCATTTAGCGAGCGCACTTGGGCGCTGAATGTATCGCCCGCCCCGTTGAAAAGCAGCGTTTTCACAAGTGTAAAATACGTTTGTTTTTCTTCCAAATAAGCAAACTGTCTCCTGTCCTGTCCTCTCTCTTTGTCAGACCCTTCATACGATGCTGTACGGAGGACGGGATGGTCAAACAACATGCACAGCGGCAAAGGTGAGGACAACACGGGTGCTGTGTGCATGTAACCACACTGAAAGGAGACTCTTGAGTCTCTTGAATCGTGCAGGTTACAGTTTCTTCCAAATGCTAGAATCAATTTCTGAAACTACAGTCTAGATTTTCTAATGTATTTTACTGTGATGGCTGTTTTCACAGGTTCATACTGGGTGCATGGGTTTGGTTTTTAATTATGCCTCCATGTAGTGTTTTCAAATTTAGTGTGAAGCAGAACTGTGATGCTGCATTATTAGCAATGGCACAACTCACACACATAAGCGTTATCTTCTAAATGCTGTACCTCTAGAGGCCTTTTCATCCTCCACAGACTGTAGGCATGTAGGACACACTGCTTAAGATATCATCTGTTAAAGCAGGAACAGTCAGTCAAAAGAAGGAATTCCAGCCAACAGCAGCTGCCTTATTCCCTTTGGCATTCGAAATGCAAAAACCTGGTTATCTGCTGCCACTCCCTGCTAGGTATGTCTCTGTCTCTTTACTGATTACTTCTCCCTGTGCAGGTTCACCAGTGGTTACTCAGAATGTGACCAAGTCCACCGAGCAGCCCAGACCTCAGCCAGGTAACTGCTGTCTTCCTTGATCTAGTGGTACGAGCACAGGCCTAAAGCCCAACGTGTCCACAGGAAAACCAGCTCTGCTTTGTGCCAAATACAGGAGGAGAATAATTAGTCTACACGATCTTTGTATTTCCTTTATTATTATACCGACGAAAAAAACAGGCAAGAAAAGCACTCGCAGCCTCAGGAAACCGCTGAAACAATTGTTTACACGTGGTTCGCCGGCAATTTAATAACGGACTTACGCTGTGTCAAACAGCTTTGAGTGTTTTTTCTTACTACCCAGCAACACATCTATTAGCATGTGTAATTGCCTTTATGGGGCAGCTAATTATTTAGAGAAGAACAATAATCCAAAAGCACTTTAACAAGGCGTTACCTCTTGACGCTCCCTTGTCGGCGTTGTTTTGCAGATTTTGTGAAAAGTAATACGGAAGTTGTGAACCAGTGTTATGTCAGCAGCAGCAGCTCATTGAAATGTTTATTTTCAGTCTTACGTGCTGTTTAGTTTGGGGGACAAACAGTTATATCAACGTGGAGACCAAACAATCATGTTCCCTGTTTTTTTCTGCAGATCCTTACCAGATTCTGGGTCCCACCAGCAGCCGCCTAGCTAATCCAGGTAGAGTACAACGCGTCTGCTGGGAACAGGCCCCGTTTTGTGGATTTCACGCTGGATAGTGAATGAGAAGGATGCATGACCAGGCTCTTGCACGTGTCTTGTGTTCCGTCATCAGGTTCAGGCCAGATCCAACTGTGGCAGTTCCTCCTGGAGCTCCTGTCCGACAGCGCCAACGCCGGCTGCATCACCTGGGAGGGCACCAACGGCGAGTTCAAGATGACCGACCCGGATGAGGTGGCGCGGCGCTGGGGCGAGCGCAAGAGCAAACCCAACATGAACTACGACAAGCTGAGCCGCGCGCTGCGCTACTACTACGACAAGAATATCATGACCAAGGTGCACGGCAAGCGCTACGCCTACAAGTTCGACTTCCACGGCATCGCCCAGGCGCTGCAGCCGCACCCCACCGAGTCCTCCATGTACAAGTACCCCTCGGACCTAACCTACGTGCCTTCCTACCACGCCCACCAGCAGAAGGTCAACTTTGTATCCCCGCATCCGCCCTCCATGCCCGTCTCCTCCTCCAATTTCTTTGGACCCACCGCCCCGTACTGGAGCTCGCCCACGGCGGGCATCTACCCCAACCCGAATGTCCAGCGCCACCCTAACACCCATGTGCCGTCCCACCTGGGTAGTTACTACTAAACACCCGGCTGTGTCCCTCCGTCTCGCCCTACAAACACCCACCAAACAAAGCTCACCATTGATGACCGGCACCCCCCCTCCTGATGCCTGCGAGACGAAGGAGAGTCCTTAATGAAGGACGATCAAATCCAAGGATTTTTTTAAAACGTTATCTGTAAGAATCTATTAAAAAAACTGGATGCTACGGCCCAAAATGGAATACTACTTACTTTTACCAGACTAGCAACAATGTTTTACTGCTTTTTTCGACGCGCGTCTTTGTTTCCTACTCTCCAAAACTTGCCCGAGCAATGCAGGACGGCAGGATGACCCGAGTCCGGCTCTCGTGTCTCGCACCGCTTCAGACCCAGACATGGGCCTGTTTTTTTTTAATGGGTCTCAATCTACATCCTCCTCAGTGCGTCGTGTACGTTACGCTTTGAGCACCTGACTTGTCCCACCCCACCCAGCCTTCTCCGTCTGCTCGCCCTGGTCATGTGTGTGTGCGTGAGAGTCTTCTGGAATTTGCTGGATGAGAAGGAGCTCTCAAAGAGTTGGACTTTTCTCAGCACTGAATGAAATTTGGCAACTGGAATGTGCCATTCATCATTTTATTTATCCTCCAAACTGGAAAAGCTAGAGAAGAGTTAAATTCCGGAGAAGGAAGCGCTGTATGTTTTTCTGACTCGGGTCAACTTTGTTACTTTAAAATGCCTTCTGTGTGCTGTGTGCGTGGAGCTGGAGACGGGCGGCGTGTACAGTTGACTTCGACCGCGACCGAGGAAGTCGAGATGTAATTGAAGTAATTTGTAACAGTAACTCAACCCAGGTCAGATGTTTTCAGGGGGGGGGCACACACAAGGCTAAATGTTCTTCCTTGCTGTTGCCTCTCAGCCATGCCGTTTCCAGATGTTTTGTTGCTCGACCATATCAGTATTAATGTGAATGTCTTCTGGTTTGTGAAACACGAAAAAAAGGGGACACCCTGCAGCAAAATCAAAATTTGTCAGATGTTTTTATCTTTTTTAATGAAAACAATGACGTCATGTTTGCTGCACATGCCTGAATCTAAAACATGAAAGTGCCTTTTTCTTCCCAGATGTTTTCTGAACAATAAGACTGTATGTTGTTTGGATGCATTGTTTTAGCCAACGTGCCTGATGCCAGAACCTTACCTTCACAGTGTCTTGACTAATGTTTTCAGCTACATTTTCTATTCATTATAGACAAAATAGTCATCATCAACCTCCATATCTCACTAGAAATCTGACAATTTTTGATTTTGAAGTGCATCCTGTAGTCAGCGGTTGCCACAGTGTCTCCCTCTTCTTTGTAGGCCAGTCGGGACGTTTTGTAGGTCGGCACAGAGAGGTGGCTTAGCATTTAGTCAGGTTAAAGGTGCAAGATACGAGATTAGGAGCATTGCGATGGACTCTCAACATGGCGACGCCCACGCCGAGGAAGGTAGGGGGGGGGGGGGGGGGCAGTGGCTAATGTTGCTAACGGCGTTAAACGATTCAAACTTACGCAATAGTGCTGTCAGAGCTGAAGGTGTTTACCTGGACGGTAAATGTTGGATCGGGACGACGTTATCAGCTGTGTCCGTCGTGTGGCTGTGAGCTGTAACATCTGGAGCGCGCTCACGTGCACTAAAAGCATGCATGCACGTCCATTGGCTCCATCGACAAAGCAAGGCGAAGCTCTGACAACACACGCAGAGGGAGAGTGACTTCATTCTGTGCGCAGGTAGACATTACTCCACTATATCATTACATAGCAAATAGCTGTTTGCTGCTATATTAATGCTCTGAATGTCGTATATTGCTCCTTTAATAGGCAGTTAAGTAGTATTTTACCGGGGCTGGATCCTAGTTTGAGAGCAGCATGTGTGTTTGAATGTTAGTTTCTCACTGATCTAAAGCCCAGCAAAATGCACATGAATCTCAAGTCAGAATTGCATCATCATGTCGTATTTCGTATCATGTCAAAACATATCCGCCTTCAGGTGTTCAAAGCTGTTGATAGCAGAAGTATTTTTTTCAGAGTAACTGAAAATGGACACTTGAAAATAAATTACTTGGGACTAAGTAGTTTTTCAGAGGACAAAACCAATAAAGTATGACGAGATGAAACAAAGAAATCCTCAGATTCGCAAACGCTGTGCGTTTGTCAGACCTATTTTTTATTGTTTTGTAAGCATCAGTCAACTAGGCATTAAAGCAACTTACTGTATAAATTATGCAGAGTTATTTTCATATGTGACACAGTATAAAAAGTCAAGAGAATTAATACGAGTTGACCTCGGTCAAAAATGCAAACCTTTGAAGTCCATTTCTGCTAAGTAGTTTGTTCCGCATTTTAAGCGTTTTTATATATCTGTACATTTGGGCAATACATTTTTAAATTTTGTTATTGTTATTATTTCTGAAATTTGGTTGTTACATCCTAAGTGTCTTTACCTGCACGCTATATTTTCTTGTATTACCAAAACCACAAATGCGTGCTTGAATCATAACCCGGGATTCCTTCGCTTTATATGCAACATGTGAGTATGATGAAGTTTTACGCCAAATAGACCTGGAATTTGAGAGCTTTTCCTGTGCATTAGATTTCAGGTGTATTATGCAAAACAACACAAACAGTATTAACATCCACAACCAGCTTCTCCTGAAGGCTTATAGCTTCAAAACAATGAATGAAAAAGGGGACTTGTAATTTGTAGCATAAAGAAAGTATTCTAATGTACCCTTAATTTCCATGTTTCACAAGCATTATCGATGAAAAGGGATCTGTGCTACTTCGTATATGCAATGTATTTCGGATATCAAATATATATATATACATACATATATATATATATATGTATGTGTGTATAATTTTACAATTAACCAATATATTATTATTAATGTCATTCCTGCAATGTATGAAGCAATACCTTTTGAAAAAGGGCTTTTGTATAGGAAAATGTGACAAAATAAATGTTTTTACCTCTCAAGTTATCTTCTATTTCCTGCCCATTGCCTCACCAGATTGTATTTTAAAATGTAAAATATTAGTATAGCATTATAGTGACTTACGCATTTGTTACACATATTACTGTGTATAACACTTGTGCTCAAATAGCTTGAGTCACACCTGCTGAAAAACACCTTTCCTCTTAATCAAGGTCAGATTGTAGCTGTAGATTGTATCAAGCTGCTAACTGAACAATCTTACACTTTATATTTTTACCTGGATTCACAAATGTTGGACTAAGTGTCCGTTTCACTTTAGGTTACTGAACTTAATCTCAGCCTAAAAAAGACTAATTGGAATTTATCACATGTCAAGGTGCTACCGAAACGTTGTGTCCAAATAGAAGTATTAAAGTATTCAGTGGCTTGTATGTTACAGCTAATACTTTGTGATACATCGGCCCTGCAAAAAAATTTACTTCATGGAATCATTTTATTTATTGATGTTATTGAATTTCTTTTGATCATCAAAAAATGTAGTTTGTGCTTCCGTTTAATTATTTTTGAAGGTATTTAAAATATTTGCCCACCACAATAACAGCAAATTGATGATGATATAATTAGCCATTGAGTCCTGGCTGCCTGTACCTGGGTATCTGCATGCAATATTATCTGATTCAAATGAATAATTTCCGGTGCGAGGGAAAGGAGTGCTTGAAGCTACGCCACTGTTATAGTCTTTGTTTTTTGTGCGTCTATCTCATCACAAATTACCTTTTGTTATTGCAATAACAGGGATGAACCGTGTTTACACACTTTTCAGTCGTATTCTGTTGTGAATCAACAGATCTTCCAGCGCTACAAGCTGTGAGTGAGGACATCGTGGGCGTTTAACCACTTTAGGCCGGTTTATGTCTATTTCTCGGTCTTCTCGGTATGACTCTGCATTGTTTAAGTCGCACTCCAAGGACACCTTTGAAAGTGTGTTTGTAATGTAACAACCAGTGTGTCTGCATGTTGTGTTTATGACAAAGGGCTCTTTGCACGAGACAAACACAGAGGGAGGAGGGAGGCAAATGTCATTGTCATGCAGAGTTGCATCATTTGTCAATAATATTCACAATCCTTTACCGAGGCAAAGGGTGCAGAGAGACCTATAATGATGTTTATCATTTTGTTATAGAGGTCGCCCTCAGCGAAAACCTGTTAAAGCTCTATGTTTCTATGTGCGGTTATCTCTCCAAATAGAAAGTTCTGGTTTAATGTTCAGAGCCTGCACGTAAATTAATGGGCAGCGAGAATCAGCGTTTATCTTTGAAAAACGTTCACTCTTTAGTGTTTGGATCCCTGCTTGCTGTCACAACTTCTCTTTGTTTTCGGATGAAACACCACAATAAGGGTTGGCACCTGTCATCCCGCTGGTTTGACCTTTTTGATCACAGTCCATATACGGCATTCAGGCTCAGTTGGGGACAGAATGATGCAATGAAACATTTTCAATGCGAAAATAGCTTTTATTTCTGTGTCTTTTTCCCCTGAGATAAAATACAAAAACAAATACGCAGACAATTGATTATTATACCATTCAGTGCACCATGCCGGGTTCCTGAAAGCATTGTTCTCTCACAAAGTCTTCACTCAAGGAGAAAACCACAACTCCTTCACCCACTGTGTGAAAAGAGTGGCCCCTGAGCTCCGCCCTTTGCCAGAGCCTGTGCGTCTGAACAGTTAAGCACACTCTAATGGCTCAAGTCCAAGGGTGGATGCAAATTGTCGAATTTGCTTTTGGAAGGTTCCTAACTGAGTAAAATGAGTAAAAAGTATTTAAGTGCCTTTCATGATAAGAGCTTTAATGCTTCCTTTAGTTCCTTTATCATAGGAGCCACTGGACCATCCTTTACAAAAGGAAACGAGATAATTCCTTAAGCATCTTTCCTTGACCGCGTGATGTTTTCCACAGAGGTCAAGGAGGGACAGACGTTTTTGACTATTCGAATACAGCCCAAGTGTCTCCTTGTGTACAGCGGCCAACCATTTAGTAGCCTAAATTACATAACAAGCAACTTCATCTTTTATCTCGCTCGTGAAAAAAGCATGGTCCTCACCAGCAGCAAGTAATTGTAAGATTTACACACAGGATTAAAGATTTCATTCATTTAAAAAAAGGAGACTTTCCGTCTCCATTGCTGAATTGTAGCCTGTCCCAATGTCCCTTTGGTCAAACAGGTTAGGATTTTTTCAGCAGACATTGACAGGTGTGTTTTTGCATACAAATGGTTCACAAACAATGTAGTGGCCCACAGACGCCATTCTAATCTAAGTTAAACACAATAGGAAAACAAATACAAGAGACGACTTCATGTTTAAATGTCACACAATGTGCCATGAGGTAACCCCATCTGCCAGGTACTTGAGATTTGAGGCGTTCGTCCATGACAGCCACTGCCTGTAGAAGTTTCTACAGTCCGTTACTCCGTGTCCAGGATCTCACATCTTGGTGCTATGCGGATCATTGATTTCAATCACCGCAAAGCCCTGGTTGTCCTGTCCATCTATGGTGTGATGGTGGTGACCCTTAATGTTGTGGAAGCAGTAGGCACAGTGCGCTGTGGCCACTGACTCCACCTTGGAGAAGTTGGAGAAGTCTACTTTGTACTTGCCCTCCTTGCTTCTGGAGATGATGGGTAAGAAGTTGTAGCCCCACATGATCTCCTGAGGAAGGAAGGAGGTCCGGACTTGACAAGCAGAGGTGGTGGACTCTGCGGTGCCGTCGAAGAAGACGACCAGCTCAAACTCTTGTTTGTGGAGCGTGTCCACGGCCATGTCGAAGAAGGGGCTACTTTTGTCGATGATGTGGTAGAGCGTGAGAGGACACACAAAGAAGAGGTTGTCCTTCCCGGCGTCCACCGTGAAGTCGATGCTCACCTGGTCCATGATGATCGTCTCCCCTTCGGGCGTGTACGTTGTCCTCAGCAACTTGCCATAGATCTGGCTTCCTATCATGAGGGTCTTGCGCAGGTTAGCCACTCTGATCGACAGGGAGAGGAAACCATTTTTGGGGCTGATAACGGCCATGTTACTGAACGAGATGCTCTTTGCCCTCTTCTTGGGCAAAGAGATTTTGCTCAGGATGACTCCGCACAAGAAGCAATTGAGAATGGTTCCAAGGAGGTACTGGATGATGAGAACGGCCACGGCACCTGGGCAGTGAGGGGTAAGCGCTCGACCACCATACCCGATGGTTGTCTGGGTTTCAAAGGAGTAAAGGAAAGCTGTGGTGAGTCCATCCACATTAGCGACACATGGCATGTGCTCGGGTGGCGGTTGTTGCCACGTCAGGTCTCCGTTGCTGTGCCCAATCCAGTACCACAGTAGGCCAAATAAGAACCAGCTGAGGGTGAAGGAGGCGGAGAAAATGAACAGGACAAAACGCCACCGGATCTCCACGAAGGTGGTCCAGAAGTCAGTCAGGAAATGCAACCGGCTGCTGTACTTGACGTTCCCGTATTCAATGTTGCAGCGACCATCTTTGGTAACTAGTCTGGTTTTGCATCTTTTTCTCTCCACGATGTAGTCCTGGATCCGTCTGGTCATGCATCCAAACATTTTTGCCGACCAACCTGTATGACAATGAAACAAGAAAGACATCTGAGTACTGAGTAGAGGCACGGGGCTGTTGTGTGAACCGGCACTTACTCTGCACCAATACAATACAATAGAAAGCAATAACAATCAGCCCCTAGGTGACCTCTTCTAGCAGGTCAGAGTGAAAGAAAAGCATAGTTAAAAAGGCTGATACAATTCCTACTTGAGAGGGATTTTTATCACAGCCAGTCATAGGCCCTGTCAAATTGCCAATCATCCTTAAACACTGTTATTTTATACAATCAGACAGTAAAATGTCAAGATGAGACTCGTATCAGGTTTTGAAATGGAGGCGTAAAATGGAGACCAGTTCATGCCAAGTACAAAGCCTCTATATGCACAGTTGTTGGAGCATAGGCAAAAATAAACACATTCTTCTTCTTAAATTTAACTGAGTAGGTAAATTATTTTATTACATGTATTAATTAATACATCATTTTTGGAAGTGCTGGAGGTTTAGGGAATTTCAAGTTGAAATTATGAAAAATAATGTGTGTCGCAAGAAATTACCTCAACACGAGGATTAGCTTGGTTTGCAAGCCTTCAATCCTGCCAAAATAAATGTGGCATTGAAACACTTTGGGCAAACGCAGTCGCGGGTTCCCATAACTTTGGTGCTCGATGGATTGCAACTGGCTCTACAGCGGCATGTAAGTAAGGCCTCTGTGGTCATGTCATGCAAAGCTCCCATTCGGATCACGGCGTGCTTGTTGGTGCGTGTGGTACAAAACAGTCAGTACAGTGACGTGTTTTCACTCTCAACCCCTTAAAGCTCACATCCAAATTTTGCCAAAAAGAAATCTGATAATCACTGTGTGTTGTTTGTTCGAGAGCTTCAATTGTTTTGGAAGCAAACACTGGTCATTGCACACCCGATCCTTTGGTAGGCATGTTTTCACAACGTAACAAGATATGCGCTGCACTCATTTTGTGTATTTTGTATTTTAATTGTATGTTGGACAAGTTACTCTGTATTATTACTTTGCTTCGGAAAACATCTACCTTCAACTAAATTAACTGTATTATATCATGACTAAAAATCCCATTTCAACCTTTAAAATAATAAGATCTCCCATGCCAAATGTGATTAGTCAATCAAAGAATAACATTTGATCTTCATGGGAAGTTTTATTTTTAATTCCTTTGAAAATGGCTTTTGGTATTGCTTTTACTTTATAAAATGTATTCAGCTGATCAAACTGTCCCACCTCTATTCTGATTTATTTTGAATTACTCATTTATGCAGACTGAATTAAAATGTGTACCTTAGTATGCATGCTAACATGGAGAATCACTTAGAGTGAAAAAAAATAAAAGCTAGGAAGAAATAAAGTAATAGTGCTTGTTTGGTTGCATCAAATGCCTTTAAAAGTACTTGATTATAATATTGGTGTAATTACCTTTTTTAAACTACCCTAATTCATTTCAGGGTAATGCTGAAACTACAATGGGCTCATTTTATTATCAGTTCATATCTCAGTTAATTATTTGCATTACAAAAGTGGATGTCTCGCAATAAGCCTTGCTAAGTGGAATACATGTTTAACAAGCAGTCACACCTTATTTGCTGTCTTCTTTCTCAATAAGATACAAACCTGAACTACCTTAAACACATTTTGCAATCCTTTTACTTTATTAATTTATTTAAAAAATTGTCACAGTGACAATCTTGCAAGACATCAGTCTCACAATAAAATGAAATATGTTACCATGAAAGTCAACTTACTTCGGTTGAAACTTACTTCTGCAATTCCCAGTTAAAGTTAAATGATGCCGACCACAAGGTTGATCATCGGCCAAATCCGCCTTTGCCTTTTTTCTCCGTCTGGTTCCCGATTGATTGAGACAGACTGGGCGTGTCCTCCTCCGCTGCCTGTTCACCAACACCTGTGTGCATTTATACTGCACCGTCTCCAATCCTCCAGGTGATGTTTACACCCACAGAGACATCGAATAACCCTCCGCCCCCAAACAGTCACGCATACCCTTCCCCCAGCTCTAATAAGATGTTTACCCCACAGACGCCTGGCACCAAGGGCCGAGCTGACCTCCGCCCGCTACATTCCCGGTACGCCACAGACAAGAATGAGCCACGGATTCGCCGTTGGTGGTTTTGTGGTCTTTTATTTAAGTGGACATTAACAATGTAGGCTGTGTGTAATACCTGGGTGTTTTTTTTTTTTATCTGGATGGTTCCGCCCCCTCCGTGTCTCTCTGACCAACAGTCTTATCGTTCACACCCACGTTTTTATTGCCATGTTTTGGCTAAATCTTTTTTAGAGACTGTCTGATGATGTTTGTCTCGTGCGAGAATGAGGAGAGTCCCTCTGAAAAGATACAAAACGTTCCCTCTCGTGATAGAAACACGTTGCAATAATGTTGTTGTCTCTAGAATAGCTACTTCATGCTCCATGGCAAAAAGGAACACACGTCCCACATTTGTTTTTGTATGTACTTAACACATCCGGCATGCAGCGTTTGTGTGTTTGTGTGTGTGTGTGTATGTGTGCGCGTGGGGGAGGGGGGGGGGGGGGCATCGACTAGATGAACATAAGTAGATGATGAGATAACTGAAGCCGTGGTGATCAAAGAGAAGATGCTCCACATCCACGGATTTCACTTTCCACGGTCGGTCGAGGAACCGAATCAGTTCGTAGGGCCAAAATGAATACGTAGGGGAGGGAAGTTGCCGGACCCGCTGCATTTCTGTTGACCCACAAGGAGATTATTGGCCTCCACGCTATTGTAAAATGATGACAGGTTTTCATTTCAGCTTCTTTTTTAAAATTATGGTGATTTTTTCCCGCTTGTTTCATTGCTTTCACACAAGACAAAAGGCCTGTGAGTAGTCCGCAGACCGCACAGACTTTGTGCTGGTTTAACGATTTAAAGGCTGCGGCGGGGAGGGAGCATTTGATTGACACATGCGATATGAGACAAAGACTGCCACTGAATAGAAACAACACAACAAACATACAGTAGCTTCAGTGCATCTGCTGTGGTGATGCTGTTTAACTACAGTAGTGTTTGAGAGAACGGCGCTTAAGTGGTTTTGATGGCACACTTCTCACCGTGAACCAGCGCAGTTTCTCCCCTCGCCAATTAGCATTCAAATGAATCACGTCGGTTTTTGTATTAGCTTCTGGGAATCGGCTGTCTGTGGCGAATGGCCTGGTAGTCAGTCAGCATTACCGTCTTCACTGTGTGTAAAGTGATGTTTGAAGTGACAAAATGGTGAAAAACCACATAGTCATGGGTGATCTTTTGTTATTAACATGAAATACTCAATGACCAACGTTGATCTTGCTGAAAGTGACAATTCAGCTGCAGCTCGGATCCGTGTTGTACTGTAGCAGTCAGTGAAGACCCTTTTTTTCTGTCTGTCTGTCGCAGACGAAACACCTTCTTTGAAGCCATTCACCATGTTGTCTTTTATCATTGCAACTCTCCAACTTTAACCAGATACCGGATCACACCGCTTAGTTTATTAAGCTATTATTTTTCAAAGGACGCCGTTACTCATTCAGTTTTTTTTAAGTGAGTTGCAAACCATCTAAAAGAAATCTGCAGCAGTCTGAATTAATTATTCAATGTAGCCTTGAGCACTGGGCTGAAACCATTTGATTAATTCTGGTGTGAAAAGAAATACAACCTTTGTTTTATCTTTTGGATTGTTTGATTCAGGTGGGCTTTGCAACATTTGCCAGATATCTGTATATCGGTATAAAGTGCTGGCGTTGTGCGCCCCGTGTGGATTTATATGTGTGTGAGGGGGGAAGCACCGAACGTCTCTGAGTAAAAAGCGCTTGTGAAGCGTTTGCCTCTTGTGATGACGGTGGGATCCACGCACTCGTCACATTTGTTCGGGACCGTCTTGTGTGGGACATTTTAAGATGTGGGAAATGCAGCGGAAAAAAACATGCTGTTAGGACCGGTGCCCCCGTCTATTGATGCCTTCGGGTTGAAATGTCGACGTCAATAGAAGCATGTAGACGTGGAATTGGGCTGTCAGGCCAGACTGAGAAGCCGGTTCCACAGGGTTGGTTGGGATCCCCCCCTAGCACTTGCTTGTAAACTATTTGCCTAATGGGATCATTTAAGTTTTCACCATTTGTTTTTTCATCCCTTCATAGCCGGTTGATCTTCGACTCATAACTTCATCTATTTCCAGGTGACTGGGATTTTCCCAGTAGGATGCGCAGTAGGCAACAAAGTGTAAAATGAAAATGTATAAACTTCCATTACGTGCTGGGTTCTGTTACCATGCATTCTAGCGACTTGTATTCTCTGTTTCTTGAACACCAGAGTGTGATTCTATCACTCTGTGTTGAGATACATATAAAGTCAAATGCCTGGGATTCTAACCCAGGACTACAATATAAAATAATATCATTATTATTACCTGGGATTTTATTTTGAAGCATTGAAACTAGCATTGAGTAAACGGTCTTTTGGCAGTTTCCCCTGTGGCGTGAATTAAACAGGGTTTGATGTGAGGGGGGGGGGGGGACACATGTATTCTTGTCGTCCACTCAGTGTTCTCAGGTCACGCTGTGGTGTTGTCTTTGTTCTTTCTGCCGTAGCAGCCCTCCACTTAAAGGACTTCAGCCTCATTAGGCAGTCACAGAGCCTGAAAAAGCAACTCAATGAAAGGTAAATAAAGAACAACCTGTCCTACGACCGCCCCCCCCCCTCCCCCATACCCCTCCTCTCCCTGCAACTCTGCAGCGATACGGCCAGCGTGGATTCAATTTTTTTGTAGCTTGTAAATTGACACCGGGCGACAAAAGCCACAAGGAAACAAAGACTTGTTGTTTCAGCCGAGGGTTTTGGTATTCTCCATTTTCCCTTGTGTCTTAGATCTGTAAGATACCAAAGATCTCAGGAGTCTTTCTGCCTGCAGGGAGACACAGAAAAGTGAGATACTTGGCCTCTCAGTATGAACTCAACCTGAGAGCATATATTTAACACCCAGCTAATAAGCACTGCAGCCAAAGCTGTTGGGACATTGATGGATTGCATGAGGAAGACGGACTAAAACGGAGGTAATAACGTATCACCGTGTCATGCTCTTCACTGAGAAAGGTACATCGACCCATGTTTGCCCATGTTTCCAACAAGACCTGGAATAACCTGCACAACGGGATGACTTACCCAAAGAACAAAGCAGGAGAAGTTCAGTTTTGGGGGTTTTGAGGTTTGAAGGTGGTCACAAATTGCATCAGCATGACCCCAAGAAGGTTCTTTCAGGAGCATCAGCCGCTGATCCTGTTGGATCACTCGCTGCGATACGGCTTTCCTCCACACGATGTCACTGTGTCGGGACTGTTATGAAACAAATAACACGGGATTAAGGAAAACAGAATTCGTGGCGGTTCTTGTACACAACGGCAGCAACAAGGCCAATCATTCTGATGCCATTGACGGTTAAGTTACAAATTAGGAAAAATGAGAAATAGTCGTGGCTTTGTAGTTGATTTGGATCATCTGTCTTAATAATTATATTCAGCACATCAGTTTGAAATGTGTTGTTTAGTGCTGCAAGGTCATTTTATATGATGATGTTATAAGATGACTGTATATATCTGCTTCAAACCCTCCTCTGTGGCCAGGATGAAAACATACATACACTATTATATTTCTAAATAATTCATTCACATATTACTAGCACAGCGTAGCGCTGTAAATCTTCACAACGTAATTCATTATTTAAGGGCAAATAGATGTAGTCGTTCCCTAAAGTCCAGCTTCCCTTTAAACGATACATGATTGAATGCAAAGAATAAGCAGCACACAAAGTGCTCGCTGATATGGTTCACAATCTGCATTTTGTCATCTCTATCCTGATGCGTCGCACAAATATGTTGACACAGATGAATTTGTTCCAGCGAAGCCACGCTCAGACACATAATTCAATAATTTACACTCCCTCCTATGCAAAAATACCTTCATGCATTCAGCAGTTTGCAATGCTATTAAATGCTGGCCTCCAGCTATGCTCTTTGAGAACACCACCAAATGCTAAACAGGCCGTCGGATGAACAGTTAAATATTTCAGACCAAACCCAACGTGGTGCACAGCTTCGCCTTCGGTGATGTCTGCTCAACTGTTCGGGCCCTGGTATGTGTGACGCAGTTTTTTCAGTTTCCTACGGAATATTTCTGTTTTCTTTAGCCGTCCTACCATTTTCCGTTCCAGAACTTTTGCAGCCTTGTTCAGGTGGGAGAAGGAGGAGGAGGCGCCGAGGGGAGGTAAAGGGTTCACTGCTTGTTGCTGATGTGGGCAGAGACCATTTTTGCGAAGGTCTACTTTTGACCCCCGACATTCTGTCTGAACCGTTGGGTGAATCTATTGTTTACATCTTTGGTTTTCAATTTTTTTGGTGTAATTCAAGCCAGTTTATTATTATATAATATAATATATATTATTATATATTATATCCTTATATAAGTTTATTTCATTTATACGTAGTCCTGCAGTGATTCAGGAGCTAGAGTTCTTTTTCATATGGAGATCGCTGCATCGATGAATATTAAATGAGACTCACGGCGTACGTAACCTTCACTATTTGCATTAGTTCACTTTAGAGGAATATCAAAACAGTTGTCGTCTAATAAAGCAATGGAAAGCCTATTATGTTGTGTTACCCACAACCCCTTACCATTATGCCAATCTACACACAATGTACACTGCACACAACTTTCCTCTGAGCTCTCGTGGAAGTTTTATTAATATGTGATTAATGTGTGGGGGTACGATCAACTGAACCTATCACCGTCTCCCTGTTATTAATCCTCCTCTGTTATGTCAGGCCTATATTGAATTTTCCCTATGCTTAATAACATCTCAATGTCAAGTATCCCTCCACCCGTCTCTGTCTGTGCGTCCCCTCCATGGCACATATTTCCTTCGCACGTCCCCATCGCACTTCAATTAAAGTGAATTTAAATTTAAAGCCCAAGCGCTCCATCCCGCCTCTAAGCCTCGTGCATTTGCTGTTTACTTTGCTTTTGAACACAGCCTTGCCGCTGAGGTTGATGTGATGCAACTTTTAATCGAGAGCATTCAAGAAGGCCTCATTTCATTCATTGGGGGGATTTAGGGAAAGCAAAACTTTCTCCCTGTTATCTCGACCTTACTGCTTCTCCTTTTTACTTGCTCCTTTTTATCCATTTTCACGCTTTTCTCGTACTTCTTTGATGTTTTTCTCTGCTCATTCTTTGCGGCGCTCTCTGTTTATTTTTTGTCCAAAGGCAGTTTTTATCTGCTTTTGCTTCTCTCAAACTGCTAGGGTGGTGTTTTCCCGATGAACCCCCCCCCCCCCCCCCCAACTGTATGATGATATATGTATTTTGTCTACATATATGTGATATATCGCCCTTTCAGCCGAGCTAAATCGTCTCTCACATTCAGATGCCTGCTGATTCTTTGTGCAAATAGGCGCACAACTCTCTTATGAAGGACAAATCCTGAGAGACAGGAGCTTCAATCTCTGCGTGCGAGTGAGAGGAGCATCGAAGGGAGAGCGCACACGCGCATTCTACATTCTTACCATCTCTTCACTCACCCACTCTGACTGACTCCCTCTCTCCCTCCATGTCTCCCTCTCTCCATCTTTCACGCACGCACACACGCGCGCATAGACACACATGCACAGGCGGACCCCCCTCTCTCACACAGGAGTAGATAGAGAGCGGGGAAGAGCAGAAGGAGCTGGGCGGCAGGAGAGAGGCAGGAGGGCGGTTGTCGACTGAACAAAGCCAGGAAAGGAGCGCGCATTCCCGGGGAGAAGAGCAGCTGTGAGATGCCTGGAAGGGAACCTGCCAGCAACTCCTGCAGAGACCCGAAGGTAAGCGCTGCGCACCGCCGATGGAGGAAAACAGAGGAGGGGATGGAGAGAACGAAAGCCGGAGAGGACATGGGAGGTTCCTTATTTGTATTTTTTATTTTTTTATAAAGCGTTGATGCACGGCACGACCTTATAGCTCCGCGTCCACGCCGCCTCCTCTTCCACCCGCGCGCGCGCGGACGGCACACCGCGTGCTGTGATCGTGCGTCGCGCGTGTCACGTTGCACCGCAACCACTAAAATCCCACCTGAGAAGTGTGCGTTACTTGGGGGAGGGGGGAGGGCGAAAAGTATGTGTGAGAGGAGTCGGCGGGGAGCGTGAAAGTCGTGAAAGTGGCCGGATTGATTGCACCTCCTCCATCAGCCGCGTCTTGCCTGCTCCGTCTGGTGCCTCTGCGGAGACACACGTAGATCATCGCCATGCACGTACTTGCCATCATGTCGGGAGGGGAGTACGGGGGGAGGAGGGAGGGTATGAAAAAGCCGATGGATTTCTGTGACGCAAGCAGCAGGAGAGCCTGCGAACTCCCCCTGCCGTGCCGCGCTGTAGTCATCTCGCAATGCAGGAGTTCCACAAGCGAAGGAGCGAGCCGGGACTCGTTGTGCATCTGTGTGCATCTGTATGTGTGTCGGGGGAGTTGTGCAACGGGCGCGCAGCGCGGCATGTTGCGGCTCTTTACTGGGCCTTCAATAAAAGCAGACCTTCCTGCTTCAGGAATATTGCTTATGGCACCAAACGCATTGAGTGAACATGACTTGTACACCCTGATGGGGATGGAACTTGCTTCAATGACTGCAGGACACCACCGCGTCCTCCTCCGTTCGGTTGCACTCTGCAGAAACGCACATCTGGAGAGAATTCACTGTAAAACTTTGAATCAAGTGCAGTTCCCACAACGCTCCATGCCCTCAACTATTTCTATCATTAGGAAATATCAAGACAGCATCAAGGGAGCGAGTGGACTCGACCATTATTTTTTTAATATATATATCTGTATTCCTGGTCGCTGTGGAGGATAAATAAGTGCAAGCCATGTCTGCTCTATTCTCATCTCAACCCCAGTGGAGCCAAAGGGGTCTCACACAGTGACTTTTATTGGCATTGCAGCATTGCTTGTGTGCTGCTTTTATGATGTACACCACGACCCGGCTCGTTGAACCGTGATTGGTTCCGAGTGAGAACTGCTGAGATGTGGTGCTTTTTGATGGAATGCGCGTGCGTCACGGTGCATTATTACCCGTGCCCTGATCCCGCTCACACGTGGACAGAAGAGGGCAAAGGGCAGACGTGATGCTACGCAGCATCTACTGAGAGCCTCAGAAGACAAGACACTGTGAATAATTAATTGGATCTGTTCATTTAGTCAAGACTGTGTTTCTCCAGGGGATGCACAGGGTCTTCAAGCAGATCCACACTCGCGTAATACCGCAGCGGTGCATTTGTGTCAAGAGCCTAGTCAGGCGTGGAATGTTTTTTGTATTTAGTGCCCTGGAAAGTGTGTGAGTGTGTCAGAGTGCCGCAAAAAATACATGTCTTTGTAGGTCTGCTGTTATGTGAATATGCCTAATTTATGCAAGAAATATTATCCTTCAGTTCTAGTTTGTATACATGCCTCTTTGAAGAATAACTGTGTATTATTTAAAATCCAGGCCTTTACGCTACGTGAGCTGTATATAAATACAGTGCTCTTGGTATTTGCACGGAACAGATAAACAGCAAAATGCTTCCAACAGAGTCTCCTCATCCCCCGTAAATCTGTTACTGATGCAAATTCAAGCTACTGTATTTTAAAGAGTCACCTAAGATGCCTTTGTACCAGATTTATGATGCATCCCACTCACTGATTGGGCAACGGCTTCACAATGCTCGTATTTCTCCCACGGCCCTTTCACACATAAACGTGTAACGGTTAACACGGGGCTACATGCAGCACACATAAACCTCCGTCTCCTGTTTGGCAGAGAGATGACCTCCTATGCAAACAGAAGGGGACATGGAATTGTATGTACACATGGACACCCCCTCAGAGCCTACCGCCATGGCTAAGAGGTAAAGCTTGCTGCCGCTTGGAGATATGTAGGCAGAAACCGACCGAAAAAGAAAAACGGCTGCTTGTTTCAGGTCACGTTGGTTGGCTCGTTTATACCTTTCAGGTGGTCAGTTATGGATCCGGTCTTCATACCTGCTCCCAGGAATCTCCAGCATGGCTCGTGTTGTTATCTGCCTGCAGGGGGGTTATGGGGCATGAAATAGACCTTCGACAAGCCAATTCGGCTAAACCGGTTGCTTTAATAAGTGAAGATCCCTCCTTCTGTTCACGAGGGGCACTTTGCACGGTAGACGATAGCAGACGGTGGCACGGATGCATTGATGTCCAGCTGGTGTGCAGGTCAGGCCTGCTTATCCATCATTTAAGTAACATCATAACATCCTGAGAGACAACTGCCTGCTACGGAGTTGCCACAGACTTGCCACTGCTTGCCACTGCCGCAATGAGGGTCTCGCTGTCTCTCAGGATACAGAGTTTACAGGACCCCTTGGTTCGTACGGTGTATGCACCTTTAAGAATCACACGGTCACACGGGGGATTTGGACGCTTTTTAATGTATTCAATTATTTAAAAGTTAACTCCTGACAACCACAATCCAGTAATCGCCCAGTAACAAATGCCCATGAATATGATTTACTTACATTGATCCATCACATTGTGCCAATTTTTCAACACCAACTTGCATATTTTTGCGTATTTCTGCGTATTTCTGCACACCATCAGATACTGCAAGCAAGAGTCTTGAGCCAAAATGTTCTCATTCCAAGTGGTCACACTGCAACAATACGTTGTATTTTTTTTGGGGGGGGGTTGGTCTTCATGCCACGTCATCACGCTCGAAAAGTCGCTTGAAAGCGTCTCATGCTGAGACGGCAAGAGGCGCGACAGTATTTGACACCCTGGTGCTGAGAATGGTCCGTTTAATCTCAGGACTAAAGTCTTTGGGCCGAGCGCCGCCGAATGGGCTTCCAGTCTGCTCACACTCTGGCGCGTGATGGCTATCGAGAAGGAGGCTCCTGCGAGGGACAAGCCTGGGGACACGGTGAAGCACGTCAGGAATTACAATGGAAAACGTTTGACCTTTGGCTCCTCCAGCATTGGCGATGCGCTACCTCGCTCCGCCGCGTTGCTTCGCAGCCCCGCCTCCTCTCGTGGCCTCACGTGGCGCCCTCCTCCTCCTCTGCTCTCCTGTCCTCTGCAGTGAGGTGAGGCAGAGGACCAACGAATCACAGGCGCGCAGGGGTTGAGCTTGATGCAGATCTTTTGCATCTGCAGAATAGTCAGAATATTATTGTAGAATCATTTATTTAATGCCGAGCACTGTTTGTCCCCACATGCTTCCCCCTGATTGTAATTGGTTCTTTCATTCGCCCTCTGAGAAAGAGAAGTGTCATCCGAGGCAGTAATTCACATCAAGGGCCTGACAGAAAATGCCCGATAAGAAGAAGAAACCGAGTGTCGGGGAACATGCCCAGCCACCCAACTTCACACATCTCACGTCCCTCCCTCTGTCTCTTTCCATCAGATCTCTCACTCCGCAGGCCAGCGTGGTTTGAAGAGGGTGTTATTTGGCTCCGCAAGGTGTCGGCTCTTAATCCCATCCAGGCTCCACTCAGCAGCAACGTGAAACATTAGCTATCACTGTTTAGAAAATTAAAAATAAACTAATCTTAGAAGAGTGACAAGGCAGATCTAAAACACGCAACAACAAAATAACTATTTCTGTCTTCAACCACTCTGCTTTTGATTGAATGCGGCACAGCAAGAGAGACAGAGAGAGAGAGAGAGATCGTTAGGGAAATAGTCCCTCCAGTGTGAGTCGGACGTCTTGGTGCAGCAGTGTCACTCCAGGGAATGTCATCCAAGAGAAGGACACAACTGGATGCACTCAGCTCACTATCACACGTAACGGGGAAAGGGGATGGAGTGATGGTATGAAGGTTGTGCGTGCGTGTCTGTGCGCGTGTGTGTGTGTGTCTCCTGGGCCTGGAGCCATACCAGCCTGGGCCGTTTTTAGTCATTTGACCCGTATGACCTCAAAGTGTCATAAGTGAGCAGAGATAGGGACGAAGCCATGTCATTTCATGGGCCAATCTTAGCCCGCCACATAATCACAGCAGGTCCGGTAACCGGGACTCTTTGCTTTCACTCAAGGGGAGGAGTGATGGAGGACAGGGAATCAAATGAGTAGAAAGTTCTAGATGCTTACATGGCCAAGGAGCAGAGACAGTAGATAAAGTGAGTGTTGATATTGATTAGATGCAGTGATTCTGTAAATACGTCTGCTTTTTCAACACTCTCTTTTGCCTTTTTTTTTTTCTCTTTCCCTCCCGTTTCAGCACTTTATTTGAAAACACCAAGCTTCGACCTCGAAATCCATGGATGACTGCCCACCAATTCCCATTCTGTACCGTAAAGTTAGGGATACTGCCGAGTTTGCAAAATGCGGCATGTTTTACGCCGTCACGCACCAAGTCCGGCCCTGTTTCCCCCCCCGAAAGAGGAACAGGGAAAAGCACTATTGTCGGGCCAGAGCCTGGTTCATTTGGAAGGGTTCTGATGTCAGACATATGAAAAGAATACTGCTGAGTTTTGTTATTCCTGAAATGTTCAAGTGTTACATAACAAAGCATTCTCGGGATGTCGGATCGGTGGAGATCACAAGCAGGGAATACGGCGTTCTTCAGACAAGACAAGAAAAACTACATTCCACTGCCTCCAGATAACGAGATTCACAGAACTAAACTATTCCCAATTGTGTTGCTCAAGCGAGGATTATAGGTCAGGTAATTAATCTGTTGCAGGGCCTTTATTGGAGAGGTGATTGCTATTGATAAAAAGCCTTATCTCGGCTCAGATGCAAGCCAGCCATTAACTTCCAGAACAACACACAAACGCACATTTCTGAAGCTGCCGACATGTAGGAAATTGAATCACGAAAAAATGTTATATTCAGTAAAATTCAGGGTCGAGAGATAATTGATAGAGGTTGCCACCGGTTGAAAGGATAAGAGATTAAAAGAGACTTCGCTGTGCTCAGTGAACGTAGCTTACAGCGTGCAGCGTCAGCAAACAAGAGAAATACGCGTGGAGTGGATGTCCCTTAGGAGGTTCACTAGTCCCCTCGGCTTCAGGCACAACAGATGAGTGCTCTTGTTATCAGGACACAAACACAATTCAGCCGAAGCCTCCTGTCACTCTCTCAGTAACAAGATAAATGCTTGTTCCCCTCTCGAATCGCTGAGATTAAAAAACACCGGGCTGGTGTCCAGGCCGGAACACCTCTCATTTGGGCTCGTCGAGTCGGGCCGCGGCTGAAAGACAGTCGAGATCGGGAGTTCGCAAAATCTCCTGGGAACCATGTTTAATTCATGAGATGACCTAAAATGAGTCAGAAAGCGAAATCTTGCAACCCATCTAACGTATTCAGCAAGGTTTCTCAGGAGCTTTGTGTGTGTGTGTGTGTGTGTGTTTGTGTCCCGGGCCTGTGCTGTGCTGTCTGCCTGTCTGTATTTTCCCCGCTCTGATGCCTGTCACGTCCCTCTGCCCTTTGCTTTGGACCGTCAATGTCAACACTGCGTTCCTGCGTGGATCCCATTCGTGACGCGGTCCTCTCACCTCCCTCCTCGAATCGAATAGAGCAAAGACGGACGACGCAGAAATGTCCCGTGTTGTCGGGGTCCTCGGGATCTGGCGTCGGAGGTCATTCGCCCTGGTTCCTCGGCTTGCAGCGGGTAGTGTTAGTGTAGACTTCCACTGGTCGATTTCTAAATGACACCCGCAGGCTCTATGAGTTAATTGCCTCTAGTGGGCTCCAAAGGTGTTGTTAGATTACTGCTAAAATTAGGGCTTTATCTGAGGTTTGCCCCACACACTCATACCCCCCCCCCCCCTCCCTCTCTCCCCCGGCCCTTCCTTCCATAACTACAGCAGTGGCTGTTATTAAAATCCTGCATCCGTCAGCAGACGCTCAAAGGGTTCCTTCCCCGTCTGTCACTTTGGACCTCCCCCAGCAGAAGATTAAAAATACCTGTTTCTGGAGCACAGAAACGCTCTTTAAATTCGCATCGGAGGTCCCAGGTCGCGCCGGCTGAGCTAAAAACAACCACAAATATAATGTGTACACGTGTTTCATATTAGCACAAGGGCAGGCAGTACGTTTCTAACAGAAAGTGTTTATTCGTCTGTCTCCAGCTGATTAGGAAGTAATGACTGCGTCTGATCAGAGGTGTGGTGTGGTGGAGTGAGTTGTGTATCTGCGTGGGTTCGCGTGCGTGTTGGCGATGACGAGCCTCCTCTTTGGGAATACGACACTGTTAGTCGGCTAGTTGTTGTATCGGCAAATTAGCGGATAAAGGACAGTGGGTCATTTCCCAAGTGATGTTCACAGCTAATCCCTTACTTTATCACCCTGTTCTTTTTCCTATTTGTAAATCCTTTTTGGGAGTAAACACTGCAAGGCGGGTATTTTTCTCTTCTTACGGTTGATATTTTTCATTGATGGTTATTGATGTGCTGTATTCATCAATAAACCAACCATGTCTCCCAAAACATTCATTTCTTTGCTTCCTCAAAGTGCTGCCTTTTTGTACTGTGTGCAAGTTATCACATCCTCAGTCCCATTTGTTGTTAGCTTCAGGCAACAAAACACACATCCTGACTCACAGTGAATTATTAAAATAACCATAAAAACATGAACTGTTGTTTGGTTGGTAGTAGATGTTAGAGTGCACAGTATTGGACAACAATATAAGTACAGTCCCTACAGCCACTAGTGGTTCTGTGAGGCCATGCTAAAGCATATATGATATGATATTTACCATGGCCACCGTCCGTCTCGTAAATAACGCACGCTAAAGCTGATTGCCGTGTCTTAGTTTTGAGGGTCATAACCAAAGTGCTTGACTAACAGGAATCTTGGGAGCAGATAAAATATCGGGGGGATATGAGGTTCACAAACAACCGCCTCGGGACCAATGGCGTATGAATATCCAAATAACAAAGTACTGTTCTGGTTCTATAGCTCAGATTTGATACTTTTTTTGATGGATACCTGTTCCACAAATCATATGCAGCTACGGTGATTGATGTTCCCTCCAGTGATACAAACATTCCAATGATATTCAAATAATGAAAGTTGGACGCCAATGCCAATGGTAATAGACTTTTTAAATTAATATATTTAATTAATTAATAGTATATAATACTATTCTGTAATTCAAATTTAATGGCAACAACATTTTTAAGGGAAATGCACACAATGGTGTGAAAGAGCTGTGCTGTTCCCCATGCACTACTTAATCTACATATTTAATTCTCAAACAGCACTATTTCTTATTAAGCAAACACCTGTGAATTTCTTCTATTTATTAGGTTGAACTCAAGATTTTCCAGTCACTTAACTGTGCAGTTTATACCAGCATAGCAAACCTTCATGTACGCTAATTGGGCAAAAGATTCATCCAGTAACATTTTGACATTTCTATGGATCTCTAATTTCGCATGTTGATATACAATGAGTTATTGACATATTCAAGCAATTAAAATAACAGGTTTTAGATGATTATATTCCTTCTGGAGTTGCACAACATTGTTAGTGGGGCGTAATGTATTTACTTTTCTAAGAGATGTGTAATACAGATAGTTGAGACCAAACATGCATTCCTTGATATCGATCCCTGTGGTATCGATCTTTACTGTCAGTTATTTTAAATGATTATAATGTTGGTCATCAACTCCCCGAAGCTCAGTGCGCTGCTGAAGGGTCCAACAAAATGACCACGTTCATTTCAGAGCCTAAAATTCAAATGACTTTTGTCTTACAGATGTTGAGCTTCAGCTGAGGATGGCGGGAGATTCTCAAATCCTCATGGACCACAACATGGAGATAGGAGTCACGCCTGCACAGGTAAAGACTGACAACCAGTCCTGGTCAAACACACCACCACCAATCACTGGGATTTCACCACAGCAGGAAGAGTGTGAGCGATGAGACAGACGGCGTGAGAGAGAGAGGAGTCATGATGATTTCTTCTATTTATGGGTCCCATGGAGCGGGCAGAGGACTGAAAGGAGATGGAGAAGATCTAGAGAGATGGGAATGATGGGCGATGTGTGTGGGAAAGGAAACTGGACTGATTGCTTCCCGGAATAGTGGGAATGAGTAAAATAAAAAAAAAGTTGTGATTTATATGCTGTATACGTGATTGATTAAAGAAACAGCAAAGGTTATAGATGAAGTTTCATAAAGTGTTACATAGGCTGTTTCTTTGGTTCACATGAAGGTATCGCTCGGTCGGCTTGGCTGTCGAGGTAGGGAACTATATGGAGACAACCACAACCACGCCTGCTACCAATAATCAATGGTGGAATGGCAATAGGTATCCGTCCTGATTCCCTAGCTGATTACACTCCTGCCGTCCACCCGAGAGGAAAACAATATCCACCATTTACTGCTGCCACAAAAAGAGAACTGATGAATTTGCCGTCACCCTCAAGGAGCGAGCTGACTACAAAGGCCAAAGATGAGGTGGCATTCGTAGTGACAGCTTCATCCATCACGAAATTAGTATGCAAACAAATTGGCCGGTTTTAGCTGTCATTTAAAACAAATGAAGTACTGGTTAACAACTATTTAAAGAGACATCAGCTGTGAACGTTGACTCGTCTTGTCAGTGAAACGTGTCACTCTACGTGACTGTGTTCATCCAATATCCCTGGACACAGCTGGCGGGCACTCAGCGAATGCCTGGTAAGCAGGCTACTAATTGCAATGTCTGTCAATGGAGATTGTCTTTCAATTGTTTCTTAAACAGGGGTCACTTAAAATCAATATCTGACAACTAGGTGCGATCAGATTTACCAGAAGGTATAGTGTGGCCTCAAAGTGATCGTCTATGTGATGGAGCAGAAGAGCCGCCGCTGTGACCACACAAGAAATGAACTTGTCTGGTAACGTGAGCATTACTCTAGAGAGCGGCGGATCTCAGCTGTTCCCTTCAAAGCGAGAGAATCAGAGGGCGCGGGAGTTGTTTCCTTGCCTCGACACAATGCATTTCAATTATCAACTCGGATTGGAAAGTGTCAGTGTGCTGCTGAGTGTCCTTGGGTTGTTTGAAAGGTGCCCTGAAAGTCTGTCCTCCTCCATGTAAGTGTTGTCATGTCCTAATCTGTGCATGTCCCCCAAAACAGAAGGACAAGCAGCTACGCTTTGCTGGACTACGGTGCCAGGCTGTGGGGTAGTCTTTGTTTTTCACAACCCTGAACGTTCTAAAGCGTACAATATTAAAATCTTTCCTCTATGTGCATAAAAGCCTGTTTCAAGATAAGCACTATGTGTGTGCCAAGGCATATGCCAACCTTTTTGAAGATGCCATAAGGATCTTATGGGGGAGGATGGGAGCTCTATTCCTATCTAAGCCTGCCAATGTCCCATGGGGTCTGAGGGGAGGGAACACGGGGGGACAGGGAGGGAAGCGGGGCACAGCTGTGGAGCCAGATCTTCCCGCTGGACCTGGGCCAACATAGACAAAGACATAGAGGCGTCCCGGTGTTCATGTTATGTCCTTACTCTCTCTGTCTCCCTCCTTATGTGTGCAAACGGCGCTGACACCTACAATGTCAGTGTGTAGTAGTCACCTCATAGAGCAGTCACTTGCTCTGCAGAGCAGCGTGCTTTGGCCCATGCTGAAAACAAATCTCATTAAAAAGGTTAACACCCACTCTGTCCTGTAAAAACTCAACATCAGGGGAAAGTGTCTACAGTAAAGTACATCCAAGTCTTTTTCTTTACTTTCTTTGTTTCGCCCTCCTCCTTACCATTGCCTCTCTCTTTCTCTTTCTCTTCCCTTCTAGGTGAGGAAACTCCCTAAACACATGCGGGAGGCTCAGATCTCGACTGAGCGAACCCACCTGATTTCCGACCCGGCCAAGAAGCCACGTCAACGATACGTGCAGAAGGACGGCAAGTGCAACGTTCATCACGGAAACGTGCAAGAGACCTACCGATACCTCAGTGACTTGTTCACGACGCTGGTGGACCTACGCTGGCGTCTTAGTCTCTTCATTTTCACCTTGGTCTATATAGTCAACTGGCTTTTCTTCGGCTTTCTGTGGTGGCTGATCGCGCTCATCCGTGGGGATCTGGTGCACGCTGATGAGGAGGGCTGGACCCCCTGTGTGGAGAACCTCAACAGCTTTGTCTCCGCCTTCCTCTTCTCCATCGAAACAGAGACCACCATAGGGTACGGTTATCGCGTAATCACGGAGAAGTGCCCCGAGGGTATCATTCTGCTTTTGGTGCAGGCCATCTTGGGTTCCATCGTCAACGCCATGATGGTGGGCTGCATGTTCGTGAAGATCTCACAGCCAAAGAACCGCGCCGAGACCCTCATGTTCTCGCACAATGCTGTCATATCGGTGCGAGACAACAAGTTGTGCCTGATGTTTCGTGTGGGGGACCTGAGGAACTCTCACATCGTGGAAGCGTCGATCCGAGCGAAGCTGATCCGCTCGCAGCAGACCAAAGAGGGGGAGTTCATCCCGCTCAACCAGACTGACATCAACATCGGCTTTGACACGGGAGACGACCGGCTTTTCCTGGTGTCGCCCCTGATCATCTCTCACGAGATCAACGAGAGGAGTCCCTTCTGGGAGATGACTCTGATGCAAATGGAGAAGGAGGAGTTCGAGATTGTGGTTATCCTTGAGGGCATGGTCGAAGCCACAGGTATGAAGCACTCGGGGTATGAAAAGGGGGGAATGGGTGAATGAGGGACACATGTGGAAGACAAATGGATTGATAGTGAGAGACAGAGATTGATGAAATATTGGATGCAAGAAGAGCGCTGAGTGGGAGGTATGGGATAGTGGACAAATGGATGGAAAGAGAGAAGAGGTTTACATGGAAATATAAATTGCTTTATAGAAAGGAGGAGCAGTACCTGTGAGTGCTGCGGACAGAGATGCTCACAAGTCTCTGAGCAGTCAAGTCGAGTCTCAAGTCTCTGAGCTAGAGTCCAAGTCAAGTCTCAAGTCTCTGAGCTAGAGTCCAAGTCAAGTCTCAAGTCTCTTGTGGTTATAATAAGTGTTGCCATACGTATATTAGCTTACAATTATATGTCCAACAAAGCCCATCTGATACCACAAGGTTATGAACTGAAAAAATGGTACTCTGGGTATCAAGAAAATATTGCAAAATGTAAAAGCAATGACTATTTGTTTTTCACTTGCAGAGCGTAAAAATTCATTCCCGTAACGTTGGGTAGTAGCTAAAGCAAGAAGCAAGCTAACGGTAGATGGTCAATGCTTGCTTAGCTAAACATGTTTACTCACCTATCAGGTTGAGTTTTCAGATGCCTGACAAAATTGGACGTGGTTGAGCCCGAATCTTTTATGGTAATACCGCATAAATTGCATTTTGCGGTCCTTTTGTTGCCGTCTTGTAGGAAAGTTTTGAACCCAAAGCTTACGACGAATAGCACAGCAGCCGCCGGTGCATTCGACATCTTTGACAACAAATTGGCCCCGCGTGCGCACACAATGTACGTGTTATGTAGGCAGGTATCGGAGGGAAACATCTGATGAGCTCGCTATACCGAGCTCATCAGATGTTTCCTAAAATTAAACATTGTTCACGAGTCCCAAAGCTCGAGTCCGAGTCGAGTCTCAAGTCTTTCGAGGACGAGTCTCAAGTCAAGTCTGAAGTCCGTGTACCGTGTGTGCGACTTAAGTCGCACTCTTGTCCGAGTCTCAAACTCGAGTCCCCTTCTCTGGCTGCGGATCGCTGAGACTAAATAGTAAGGGCAAGAAAGCCAGAGAGATAATAAACAAATAACTTTAACGAATCGAACAACCTTCAGAAATTGTTGTCACATGTTTGGAAGAAGTTGTTATTCTTTATTCATCAACAGACCAGTCCTGCATTTGTTTATTTGATTATTTCTTCAGCTGAAAGAGGTCAATATTTCTGTTCCCAATGCAACCCACATTGTCTCTGTTGAGGAACTTCAAAACTATTTATATTTTGTGTATATCAAATATTAAATTGCGAAAAGGTCAAGAAGTCCTAAAAGTGCTCCAGGCTGGTTACATTTAGTGGGCGGACATGACCCAGTATTTCTGTAAAGTTCCGCAAAGTTCCTAATTGCCGGTTGAGACTGCGTTCAAGCCCGCTAGAAATAAAATGTAGCATCTTCAACTCAACAATGATTTCATAAGTACGATTTACAAAACTAGTGTTTAACTTTTTTTTTTTTTTTTAAGAAAATCTTGTTAATATGGTGTTCTGATTGAAATGAAGGATTTTTGATGTATCTAAGTTGCAAGAATAATTACAATCAACTCATTTTCAACACAATGCATCATACATGTTACTAAATAACTTCATTTAATTGAATTGTGCCTGGCACCAGTAAATGCTTTTTATCTTACAACCGATATACGACCATACAGCCATGATGCAATCAGCCATGGCTTTGCATGCTTCTGAAAGAGTCTTTTTTTCTTCTGCTTCTAAGCACCAGCAGTCATCACGCTTCCTGCTCGCGCTCTTGGATGCCTGATTCAGGCATTAAATCACCTTTCGCTTCACCGGCAGGAACCCTTGGTTCATGCGAGCGTTATGTCGTCACCATCCTTGACCTCTAGGCAACAGGCCGACAGACTGTGGACTTTGCTTGACACACATGCTGTAGTCACGATGAGGTTTCATCATCGGTTTCATTGATTATGATTGAGTCTTTGATTATATCATTACAGTAAGTTAGGTTAGCGTCCCCACATCTTATTTTAAAAGTGATATGTCTCCTGTGAGTGTAGTTATGTATCAACGGCTGGACAATGATGTTGGACCATGATGATTCTTTAATATGAAACTACGTCTTGCATAGGCAGGATGGAATCAACAGATATTGCTATTGTTATGTCAAGCTAGCGGTTTGTAGGAGACAAGCGGAGAGCTTTTTGCAGATTATTTCATTTGTTTATTGTGTTCGAGATTTAATATGAAATTCCACAAACCTCATTACCCACTCTACGGATTTTATATTTTATTTATACAAAAAGTGTATTTCTGATATCTAATCTTGGTGGTCGACTTTTTCCTATGAAGGTGGTTAACTTAAATAGTCTTTAAATGGATTCTGCGACAGTTTACTATAACGTTCCTGCCTCTTGTCCTGCTGTGCCTGAGGGCCAATCGTGTTGGTGATGCCAACAACAAACCTTGTTTCCATTGTGGAAATATGTCTCTAAAGTTGCAGACGTATCGCCACTTCGTCTCTAATTTCCTATGTCACAGTTGGAACATTTCCATGAGTTTCAATCCCCTTGGGTCAGGATTTGCAGTTCATGCAAAGGCTGTTTATGTACACATACATATAATAACAGCTTCTGTCATTTTGACAACTGCAGGCCATCGCTGTTACCGCTGTAGTTTTGTCTGATTTGGCAAATGTGAGTGAAGTTATTGCACTTTCACATCATGAGAGTCCACGTCATTTTAAACCTAAACCACTTCCCTGACAATAAAATGGCAAAATGTAACAAGCTGGCGGCGTAGCGGTTGTGACACAAAATTGAAAATATATCCTTTTTAAAAGCAGACTGATATTTGACGGTTAGGCTCTGACATTGTCACTGTCTGGATAAGTCGAGCTAAACGCAGTGGAGACATTGGGAGCCGCGACAACCTTTCGGTCTCCCTCCGTCTGCTGGTGGATGCTGGAGGGACGTCATAGGCCCACATGTAGTGCTCCACGAGGGGCAGACGCCGTCACATTTGCAGGACATTGTGACATTTAAGCAAAGATGTGACCACTAACATGAACGAGAGACAGCATAACACCACAACCCCAAAACGGACACACCTCGATGGAAAGCAATGAGCAAAAACGCCTCGGTGTCTGTTGTGAGAAAGTCATGTTTGTTTCCTCTTCGTCACTCGCACATCAACTGAACTCAAAGACCATGTTCACCCGCATGCTTTGGCTTGTCTGTTAAAGTTTTCTGGCCTTTCTGATTGCTGAAGTGACACTGAGGATTAGTCTTCTATCAACATAAGAGGATCCCTATGGAAAAGGTTTAGGAACAGTGCTTTGCTGTGTTTGTGGAAATACAGTCTCTGTGTGTTGTGTTCCTGTCCTGAAGGTGAAGACGGGCAGCAAATATAGTTGAAATTAATAGCGTACATTCCGTAATCTGTTTTGTTTAAATGGCTGCTGCTCTTCTGCGATCTCTCAAGTCTTGAAGCGCACGAACACATCACAGCCTCCTAGTGTCTCCTACGCACCGTGCACCCTCTAGCACGCTTTTTAAACCATTTAGTTTTTTTGATAAAAGATGAGGCCAGCGCCAAATCACTCCTTTGGAGCCAAGAGCAGAGCAGCACAGGAAGGCAGACAGGACATTACAATTAACTCTTTGCTGCTGTCGGTGTGGAGCAATGAAGATGTGTGTATTCCAAAGCGGTGTGAGAATAGATGAAAATAATCTGCATGTATGGACTGGTTAGTAGTTTTGGAATTTGTGAATGATCTCATTCCACTACCTAAATGTTGTGACAAAAAGCAACACGATAGCAATGCATCAGTAAAAGACGGCTGTGAGGGGACTCACTCGTCCTGTTTATACGGCATCCAGGAGTATTAAACGACTCTTGGATTGCCACATAACCTTAATACAATCAAATACTAATAACACCTTCACACCACAACATCTTGTGGTTGGACTCGCAGGTATTTTGAAACCTACCCATCAAAAAGTGTTCGAACACCCTGAAAAAGCACTTTAGAAAATCCTTCTCAAAGTGACTGGAAGACATTTTATCGTCTTTGATGAGCCGGTCACAGACATAACAAAGATTTCACAAGTTAAATGTGGAAACTAGGCCACGTATCTCCATCTTTAGAGGCAGTGCTGATGAAAAGGCGCAACATTCTTGCCTTCCACTCCGCCATGAGACAACAAATCGATTTTGCATTTCAGTCTATTTGAGGCCACCTGCTTGAAGTTATTGGTGATGTTTTGCATTCATGCACAGAAAACAACATTGTTCTTCAGCTGTGAAGAACATCATTTTAGGGGAGACTATTTTTAGACTACTAAAATATTTCCTTTTCATGGGCTTGAAGGATGACTTTGCTGGTTGCTTGGGATCACCGTCACAAACTATTGTACCAACAAGTCGGACAGGAGAATGGAAAATATGTCATAGGTCTCCCCATGACCCTGCACATTCAGATGTTTTAACAGAGTTCCCGAAAATGAGGAAAATGTCTAAAATAACATGCAATTCAGAAGTGACTCCTAATTTTTTTTAACACAATGCTACGGTTTGAATTTTCAAAAAAACATCAGACCAGGGCAATGTAAATTTTGACGACTTTTTTCTTATTCCATATTTGTCACATATGCAAGCTAAGTATTTATTATTATTAATACTATAATGATTATATTAATATGTTGAATCCACGAGAGAGATGATTGTGGCTAGCTTGCTCAGCACTAATGAGGGTGCAAATTGTCACAACTAAATCCCGTTCGTGCTTCACAGTAGCACTGGTCTATTACATCTGTGATTCACGGGGTGTTTTTTAATTCCTATTCGGTATTGATTTCCTAATGTTTGTTTCACAATAAGCCATTAGCTGAATGGGGAACTTTCTGCCCGCTCAGCTTTTCTTTTCTTCAACTTATTCTTCATTGCTGGACAAAAAAAAGCAGATGTAATTAACAACAGAAATAATGACTGGGTTCCGCTCGGGTGAGAGCGTGCTGCCTTCCATCGTCCATTTTCAACGCCTACAAACTGTGTGGGGATTTATATCCGACACCACCATCGATGTTAGAGGACAGTGGTGCCGTTAGCGTCGACATTACCGACATTTAGCTCTTGTGGCCTTTCACACGTTTCACAACCATGATGGAAACACTTTGCCTTTCACCGTGTGGACAGTTGTTATATAACCACGACTAATTTTTCTTTCCATCTGTGTGTGTGTGTTTGTTTGTTAACCCGGTCGTGTGCGTGTGGACACCTCTTCATACATGCAACAGGGATGACGTGCCAGGCCCGGAGCTCCTACCTGGACACGGAGGTGCTGTGGGGCTACCGCTTCACACCGGTCCTGTCCCTCGAGAAGGGCTTCTACGAGGTCGACTACAACAACTTCCACGACATCTACGAGACCAACACCCCCAGCTGCAGCGCCAGGGAGCTCGCCGCCAAGCTCCGGGACGGCCCGCTGCTGCCTCAGCTGTCGCTCCTCAGCCCCGACCCCAAAACGCACAGTACTTTTGACCGCCTCTCCGACCGGGACCCGCTCAGCCCAGACGAGGACAAGGAGGAGAGAAATTCAGGGGGCGGCGAGACCAACGGCTCGGCCGCCGCTCTGGAGGACCCGCCCCTCGCCGACGGACTGCCCGACTGATGGAAGCGGCGGCCCGATCGGCCTGGAGCTCCCAGGAGAGCCTGAGGCCATGAGGACAGGACAATGTAACGCTTCATTTAGTCAACGGCCAGCTTGTTCCATCGCATCGCCCCGGGGACACAAGACGCGCGTCTCCGGCCCCCGACTCGTGCAATGCTCCTCTACTAGAGCGTCAATCTATAGCGTAGATGGGTTTTGTAGATACGTAAGTACGCATACACAGACACACGTACGGCATCTATAGCCACACTAAAAGGCTGGTGGTCGGATTGTCTTTTTATAATCGGGGAGGACCTCTTACTGCTGGAACAGCTGTAAGTTGCATAAAGGTGAAGCTCAAACCGGCAGCCATGGCAGAGCGCCGGGGGCTTATGAGGGGGGCCCCAGTACTCTCATTTAAGAGTGTTTTGATTCAGCTTCATTTAAACGGAATCACTCGCACAACACAGCAGCTTCTGAGTGATAATGGAACCTTGTTATTGACGGTTTTTGTTTTGTTTCTTTTTCTCTGGCCCTGTTGTTACTATTCTGTGTTTCTGAAACCGAATTCACCCAAGCAGGAATTACATAATGCTTCTAATTGACAAAGGCGAGAGAGAGTCTGTTCTCTGAACAGCAATGTTATCATTTGTTCACACTTTCTTTGTGGTTGTACTCTGGTGGGTCGCCTCACTGAGTGTCTCCCCAACACACCGGGTGGCCTGACCTAAAATAAACCAGCGAGTACCTCATTTCATACAGTCACCACAAGTCAAATGCTGTTAAAAGGTTTTGTTTTGTAAACTTTTTGACTGGTTTAAAGGTGTAATTCTATTTCAGCAACTACAACATTAATTCCAAACCCTTCTCTTGGGAACAGAAAGCACAATCGCCCACGAGGTGACACACTGACCCCCGACCGCGCAGCCAGCGACGCGCTACCGGCTAATGCACGTCGGTCCTCCTGCAGAGAGGCAGTACATCAAATGTAGGTTCAAATATTTACATGGATGATTTACTTGAAACATTTTTGATTTCTACACAGCGCACACATTCATATTTCACGTGCTCCACAAGCAGAACAGAATCGTTTTGTTTTAATTATTTAAAAGATATTCCAACCACTGAGTCCAGTGAAGATAGAAGCAGGTTTTCTGTCTAATCTCACAGCTGGCCAAAAATTTGCCTTTTTTCCAATTACTTCCTCTGAACCGTTCAGACGCTATGATTTGAACCCTCGTTTGCCCTCTCGGTTCCGTTTGCTCTCTGGCCCCCGTCCCACAACCCGCCGCTGGGCCTTTTGCTCTGCGGCCATTGTGACGGGTGTTCTGGAAGCCGACCCGTGTGTCCTGTTGGGAGCCACGGTAGATCTGACACGTGTCAGAGCTCGCATGCACGCATCGACCCCTCCGCGTCCCATCGCCGAGTACATTTCATACAGAAACACAGGGTATTTTCTAGGCATGCAAATTATGAGATTTATACAATATATTATCAGATAGTGTATTACTATTCAACTATCATTTGTCGAAGGATAAATTCCTGATACTAAGATCAATTCCCTAATTCTCTGTTATTACGTTTTTGGGTTGTTTTTTTTCACAGAGGCTTGTCCAATTAATGTATTTATTTGAACTGTGACTTTGCAGCATCTTACTATGTATTACATTTTAAACGATACATTTGCCATCAGCAGGAGATCATCTTTCTTTGCTGTCATCTGTTGTCTCTGTGTTCTCATGGGAATAAACATAATATGGTCGAAAGAACAAAATGTTCCTGTTGGATGATGTGTGCATGCACGGGCACGGACTGCTTGCGAGTGTGTAGTTATTTTGCACGTAACTTTGCAACTGAGGATTGGAGAGTTTCGGTTGCCACGCGTGACACGTTATCAGCTGCACTGTGACAAAACACAGATTTATAGCCGCGGATCTGTGTTAAGCAACTGTGTCTGCAGCACAAAAAGCTGAAAACTGGATTAGGTGCGTATCAAATCAAGAAAAAGAGACTTAACCGACCTTTTAATTATCGGCACAAAACAATCTTGTCTTGTACCGGACCTCGGGGGGGGGCGATCTGCTTAATGCAATGCTAGAGAACAAATATAACGGATAACATCAAGAACTTTGTCGCAGCCTTTTCCCTGTTTAAATTTGAATTTCTTAATCGAAATGATGCACCCAGTAAAGCGTGGACGTGTATCAGTGGCAACCTCAACCCACTCTGTTGTAAATTGTTGCCTCGGCCTCAAAAGACAAATGACCAAGAGTTTGTCTTGGATTGCATAATTGCGGCTGTGGGGTCCTCGGGACCTTAACGGCATCCCCGAGTCGGCTTTGTGTGTTGGAAGACTGCAATTACACACACACGCACAACCACAGGAAGACACAATCCCAGCCGGCAGACTGATTAAGAAGGCCGGCGCAGCTAATGACCAGTGACAGAGGAAACAGAGCCCAAGTCAATGGCGTAATCGTGTTTATTCAGCGTCTACAGAGCGCAACCCGTCATAAAATGAAACTTGATGTTACATTTGGTGTGCGGTGTGTCATAGAAATTCACTGAATCACAGCAACGGGCTGTCAGGGCTATTCTTGTCCGAACTATTACATTTAGGGGCTAGATCGTCAGCAAGCTGACAGCCCCTGATTCAAATCTGAATAATGTAGGATGGAGAACATGATGCGCCATTGAATGGTGCATTGAAATAAGTACTCAGAGCAGGTGCATGTTGGTGAGCAGGGGGTGTTTGTGTGGGGAAGTGTCGGGGGGGGGGCGGCGTAATTAATAATCAAAAACCAAAAGCGCACGTTGAACACACAACAAAAAGCAAATGTATCCATTTATACATGTAGGTTTGACGTGACTTTTTCACAATGAAAAAATTATGAAAGGAGAAGAACAAAGAAAGATAAAATGACTAAAGCTGATGGATGGCTCCGCACCAACAGAGTAACTAGCTATTATCCTTTCTCTCTCCATAGCTAGCTGATGCTCTTCCCTTCTCTTTTAAAATAATGCATGCTGGAGACAAAGAAAGGAAGCATATAGGCCATTAACAACTGTGTAGTCAGAACAAAACATCCTGCACAGTTATGGGCGGAGTGAAACAAAGGAAGCGGGAGGAATTTCGCTCCGATGCAACAAACTGGTGTAACCTCATCCCACCTTCTTGCTCCATCCGTTATCTCCTTATTCTGCATAAAAAAACGGAAGGGAAACACACATAGACACACGCAACAGTGTTTTCCACGTTTATCATTGAGAGCCTGCTGATTTTTCATTTCCACCCTTCAGAGAAACATTAAGCTACCAAACCCAATTGTTCCTCCTGAAGCAACTGTGACTCCCGTCTGCAATTATATCTTATTAAGCATTCAAATATCCTCTTACGTACTGTAATGTCTTCACTCCCTTAACAGCTCCCACTGCTATAAGAAGGATGTACGCGAGTGCTTCATGTCATTTGCTTGTGTCCTCTTATTCGTGCTTTGCAGTCACCCCTCCATGTGTGCGATGCACAGGCTGAAACCTCTTTTGCACATAAGTCTGCACGTGCAGCCGTCTGTTGCACGTGCAGAGCGAGCGGGTTGGAATCTTGCTCTTCTCGCGCTTTCGATCGGCAGAAAAGCTGCAAGCCTTCCGGCATCCAGCAGCGACCATGTTATGAAACATTATGTAACACAGCTTCACACAGAGCAGGCGATCCGATCCCTAGAAGTCGACGTAGCTCAGTCTGCTGCTTTGTTCGGTCGGTGGAAACCGTTTTTTTAGGTAAATGCAGATTTTTTGCCGGCGAGCATTTTCAGAAATCGCTGAAATTCGGTCAAAAAAAACAATACCCCCATAAGGGAGCCGCTCATCCATCCAAAGCGTGGCTGAGTAGAAACTTAAGCACTGCGAGGCTCGTCCCTTTCGTACCGTATGAGAGGAGCTTGATAGAGAATCTCTTTCTAGTGTTTCCACAGTTTGCACAGACACCGAGGGAGAAACCTTTGCCTTTTCCCGGCCAGGAGACGGAGGTCTGCCCTTTCATGTGTTTGGCCGATGGCAGCCTTTGATGAGGGTCTCTATGGCCCCCGAGTGGCTGTGGCTTCAAATTAAGCTGGTCGGGCTTCTCCCGCTGAGAAGCACTGGCAGGGAACACCGAGAGCTCAACAATAGTGTCACATCGCCTTCCTGTTTATTCCTCTTTTGCACTTTTGCGAAGAATGCTTTTGCTTTCCTGTCTTTCAGAATCTGCAGCCATTTGTTGCCACGTGTGTCACGTGCACAGGAATTCGTCTTGGTCGTGGTTTTGCAGTCAATAACGTCTCCTTTCATTTCAGAAACCTGCCATTCTCACACACCCTGTAGCTGCCCGCACCGTGTTCCCCATTCCCTCATTAGCACCCCTGCACATAGGCCAGCCTTGTCTCCCATAGTCATTAGCCAGATAATTGAATGTATGTAATGTTCCGGCCTTGGTTCCTGACCAATTTGTCTCACCTGCCTCTTGCCTGCTTGATTCATTGTTGCAGATACTTGCTTATCTGTTGCCAAACTCTGCCTTGATCTCCAAGTAAAAGATTGATGCTTCAAACTGCCTCCGAGTCCTGCTTTTGAGTCCGCATCACTGTGTGCCGAACCATTACGAGCCCTGTTCACGAGTGATTGATTCACAATTTGGCAAAATATTCTTATTTGCTTTAAGGGCTGTGTTATACTAATCTATCTAAGCCATTTTTTGGAATGCAGGTATGTGACACGGATGCAACAATGTGAGGTTACGAAAGAAGAAACTATACATTTGTGGTAAAATATCTCACCCGATAAGGATTTATTGTAGTTTAATTTGTAGAAAGTAGAGTTTAACGTTCGGGAAAATAGCATCGCAGACCTTCTTTAAAACTGTTCAAACCAATAGAGCAAACGTGGTTTGATTGATTAGCACTTAAACGTTTAGATCACAGTGAGCAATAACTTCTACATTAATACTGCAGTGAAACATTCACAGAATTGTAATGTAATCCACCGTCACAGAAGCTTACTGACTCATCTCAGCACAGAGCAATGCAGCAAACACCGCATGCTGAGATACTTGTGATTGTGGGAAAGAAATGACGGGATGATGGAGGTCTGTCTGCTTTTTGGTCTTTTATTCATCGGATTGATTAGACAAACAATGGGGGTTTTGATCGATTTCAAGGAGGAAGAGAGGTTGTAGGTTGAAAGAGAAATATCCAGCGTGCAATTGGGAAGAATATATTTTCCTGTTCAATAGACCAACCAGATGTCTCTTAGATGTTTAGAGTATTCCGGATTCCAACTCTGTCACCCACTCTTTTATTTTTAGACCATCGTTTAATCACTTTTCTGAAATATTTTGCAGCCATTTCTTTCTCTCTTATCTAAATGTTGCCCTATTGCGTGTAAGGAAAAACCGTCTGGAGCTGAATTGTGCTTTTGAACTTGTGGACTTTAGCCTCCTTGAGAACCTTTTGAATGTGCAGGAGAAAGCGAGTGAAGTCTGGGAGAATTGAGAGATCCCACATCAATGACGGAGATGAATCAATAGTTCCCAATGAAGGCATCGGCTAGCTTTGTCTGGGAGCTCTTATACCACCAGGCACTTTGTTCTAATACGGTGTTTAAGCCTCTGCAAGACCTACTTTTTCTGGTGTGTTGGGGGGAAGGCAAAGAAAGAGCAGACATTACGGATATAAATAAATGCCCTCCGACACTTTAAGGGTTCTTTTTTCAATGCCCACGAAGCGACCCTCCTTTTTCTGTGAAAATCTAACAAATTTAATCATGGAACAATTATTTATGTTTTCATAAAGAGAGAAGAGCCAAAGGCGTTTTTTTTTTTGTTGTTGCAGAAATCATCAAATGACGCGGCGTCGGGTGTAAGTGGCTTCATGGGCATTTAAATAAAGGAGACTAGTTGTGTAAAGTAACACAACCCCGACAATGACATTTACTTACTGCACCGCTGCACACCGCAACTGTGAAAGGCGACCTCTGGAAAACAAATCACCCTCTATATTTATACTTTAATTTCTCTCCCTCTCTCTCTCTCTCGATCGATCCCTCCCTCTCTCCCTCTCATTGAGTTTTTAACCCTCGTGACTCTTCCTCCTCCCACGCACCGAACAGGCTACTGGAACAGGAAAGAGAGTTGTCCTTTTCTCACCTACCTGTGTGTGATCACCGCGGCAGACACACAAGCACGGATGCAACCCTAAAACCTGCAGCCGTATCCCTTTATCCCGGATGAATGTGGACGGTATCTGCCTTCGAGAGAATTTGAACGTACACTGTATCTGTCAGTATCTGTCACAGGATCTAACCCTACGAGTACAAGGAAAGACACCTTTGATTCTTCATACGGATCAGATTACAGGTTCTCCAAAGTATTATATTTCTGCACACGCTCTCAGATATCAGCGACATGGCGCTGTTTTCCCACACGTCTGTTAGAATATCCACCAGCTGACAGTCTACCGCCAGCCAAGTCTCCTAAAAGACACGCTAATGTATTATTCGCATGGCCCAGTCACAGCGCTCGCACAGCACCAACGCCGCCTCACCTCCTCACACTATAGTGTTTTTACATCGATGCGACTGAATGTAGCCACGTGACGTGTCCCTCACGTGATCCCATAGGTTTAAGCCCCTCCCACTTCCTGGTTTACCAATTAGTCTGGGTATAAAGGCTCCATTTTTACGACACTACAGGAGCATGCTGTCTTCCTGTGTCCAGGGCTGTAGTGGAGGGTAAACGCACGTAAACGCCATTTACGCACCTCTAGAATTTTGGAAATAGCGTTTACGCACCTATAAATAGCGTTTACGCACCTCAAAGTTCCCTGCGCCTTGTATTCTTCCGTTGGAATAATCCGAAATAAAATTGGTGTAATTTTAAAACAGCTAAGACTACGTTTGCCATTGTTGAACATATAAACGCCGTAGTCTGAATCATGTTCATCTGCGCTGTATTACAGTCTGTGAGCATCCAATCAGTGCCTTGCGGCTGCAGCAGCGGCACCAATCAGGATGCAGGAGGTGTGTAAACACACGTTGTGGATCAGCCCAGTGGTCCCCAACCTTTATTACCTCACGGACCCGTTTCACGTCAGACAATATTTCGCGGACCAGTCGAGAAGGTCCGACGGGGGGGGTGTAGAAGTCGTTGCGGGCGGAACGACCGACGGGGGGGGGTAGTAGTCGTTGCGGGCGGAACGACCGACGTGGGGGGGAGGGGGGGTAGTAGTCGCGCGCTCTGTGTTCGCTGGTCGTGCACGGTAAAAGAAAAACGCCTGGTGACGCGTAGATTAGAAAACAAGTCAGTTCTCAATGTGAAAAAAAACATGCTGTAAAGGATATTTATGATGACATAGGTAGTACATGAGTGTTCCTTTAACCTATGTTGTCAGTGTAATTGACAGACTGTTTAACTGGTTAACTCTTAATTCAACATATTTTTTCAGGCAGTGAGAGGACAGCCAATGATGCAGAGAGCACAGGGAGAGGAGAAACACCAGGTCCAATAGAGAGAAGAGAAGCACAGCGCGTTCTGGGGTTCATGGCTCCTCTGTGCAAGGCAGGACCTGACGTGGAGGACAAGGAGGCCCTCTGGGCACTACTGTAAAAAGGAGACTCCGTATGTAGATAGTTCTTAATCTGCAATTGTGTTGTTGTGTTGTGTTGACATACTTTTCTTTACTGTTTTCTTAAATTTAACATTTAACATAATGCAATATAGCCAGGACAGCCTTACAGAGTCGCGATGCGCATCGCGTCGAGGTCTGTATGATCACAAAATTCAGAGTTTACCCACCTCTAATTTTGAAGTTGAAGTCCCGGAGGCCGCGGGCGCGCCCCTTTTCGACACATGCCGCCCTGTCACCGCTTGTCCTCCCTCCACCCGAGCCGGTCGCCTCTGACCTTTTCAACGGATTCCCCCCGGCCTCGCGACCGGCGCCATTCGGCATAGCAAGCGTTTCGAAAAGGCTCACAAACTGGACGTCGAGCTTCAGAGCCAGAGCGCTTTGTTGGTTCTCACGCAGGTCCGTGCGTGTTGCTATCGTGATGGAACATTTTAAGGGTGAAGAATCAATAATATGCTACACACACATTGCTGTGATTTGTTTGTTTGCCCTTCAGCATTGGATGAGGCCTGTATTTAGACAAATGAAGCATGCTAATGAGCACCTAGCTGCTGGAACACGCTCTGCCGAGTCCACGAATCTTCACCCCAAATCGCTCAGCTTTGGGGTTTTTCTCTCTGGAGTTGCACAACGTGTGGTTCGCTCACACTGATATGGATGTAAAAGGGTTTTTTGGGGGGGGGGGGGGGGGGGTTTCACACACAAGAAAGACAACTCTTGCATTACTGTGCCCTCCTAGATGAGGACACGAGGCGCGCCCCCCCATCAGAGAGCGGTGCTGACTTGTTCCATGGATTCATACTCCTCATCGTGAAACATTAATGATGATTCTTGATTGAGATCAGATCAGTTGAATCACTCTCCGTTTCATGCAGCTGTCTCGTTGCTCGCTGAGGAGCATCTCAGGAGCACCGTTTTCTTCTTTCATCAAAAAACAATCAACCTTGTTTCCAGGGCAGTTTTCCATCAGAGAGAGCTGCTACTTAAAGAATTTACGCTCGGCTGTTCACGTCAACAAGCAATCGGCCAGCCTAATAAAAAGAATCCAACGCCTTCAAAATGCTGCACGCAAGCTTGAAATGACTATGTGTAAGTTGAGGGAAATAATTAAGAGCTGTTTACTGTTTGTAATTAAGAGCAGCTTACCTGATTTGAAGGCAAGTTATTTTCCCCAGTAAGCTTTTAAACCTCTGACGTCAACACTCTGTAAGCATTTGGATTAGCCTAAAAAAAGGTGCAAGAATCAAATATATTTTAAAAAAGGACACATCTTTTCTGTTTTAGAATAGTACTTAATGAATGTACCTCTCAACCTCCTTCAGACACAGATCCAGACCTTCCTGAAAAGCAGGCAGGATTCGATGGAGCTCGACACTTTAATTACCGAGCGGAAACCCCTGTTTAGCATAACTGAGTAATGATATTGACCATGCTAAGATAATTATTCCGAAACTATAGTAGCAGTACAGGCATATTGTTTATAATTATACAGCGCAACCAGCATCTTACATGTTATGTACTTGCTTTCACTTTTTCAATTAATCCAAGCACTTTTTCTTGGAGAATGTTCTAGGGTTCAATTACATGGGGGGAGCACCCCTAGTGGTGGAAATTCTAATATGTGTAATAATGTTTAGTGTTAGAATTGTAGTTTGTGTGTTATTAGATATTAGTTATTACATTAGCATGTTTGATGACGTGAATGCAATTTTAATCAAACACAATTTATAGTCATGTTAAACACTGTACACATTAACATTATGTCACGATGTGATGTTAAAACCTGGGGACGGATGCTAGTTGCCGTCCTTTATGGATTTCTCCCTATTTTCTCCCCAAAGAGGGTTTTTTGGGAGTTTTTTCTCCTGTCAGGTAGTAGATAAGCAACTGAATACAAGACAGCCGATTGAGGCCAATGTCTTGACTATTG